TAAGCCCTTGACGCTAATATAGATCTATGCCTCCTATCGGCGGAGAGATGCAAAAGAGCAGAGGTCAAAGTTATTAGAGGGAGTGCAAGTGGGGTGATAAAATTGCGTTCGTAAAAACTTTCGGAATCTTTGCAATTTTTTCGTCACGCGGTCCTCGGGTCTCTTTAAGGATGTTTTGTATGTATTATACAATCCCGGCAAAAAGTAGCCCAGCAAAATCAATATTGACGAATATTTTCCACTTTTGAGGTATTTTGACTAAGAAATTATTGCAATTTAATCTTAGCTACAATGCAGAGATGTATTTTTTAATATTTATCGCGTTTTTACTGAAATATTCCGAATTTTGTTAATCGAAATAGCAGATAATTTCGCCTTGTGACAGATACAAATTATATTTAATATCTTTTTAAAGTTAGTACTTGTATAATATTATTTGACCAAATATTTCCTCTGTATCTAAACGTTTGCAAATTTTCAACAAATTCTGAATATTATTTCCATGTGTTTTTGTCATTTCAATCGACGTGGTTATACGTTTCCCCTAAGAACACATGTTAATTCGGTGCAAATTAAAATCCTTATAACTTGTGAACGCTTTAGTGAATTGCACTGAAGATTCGAAAATTGTACTGAAGACATTCTAAACATATGTAAGAACATTCTGTACAATTTTCATTAAATTCTCGATATTTTGAAAATAGATACAAAACATCCTTAAATACTCTTAATTTCGCGAATTAATGATTTAAGACTCATTGTCCGTTACATTATGTCTTTTATACACAATAACACGCATTTTATCGTCAACATTAAATGGACGTGTGTATATGTGTATTCATTAATTTCGCTCCGTCGTTAATTTCACGATTCAAACGATTATGCCGAGAGATAATCCACATTGATAATTGGTAATGGCAAACAATAATGTTCGTAATCTGTGGAGGGCAATAGAGCCGGTAGCGATACACCATTTGAAATTCCACCAATTTCGTGTGTATGCGAGCCGATTCCTAAAACGAGAGCACTATGTAATTGCGTCAGCTTGTTTCAAAGGCCTGACTGTCATTTACGAAAACCGGGCTTGTGCACGTTCCCGACGTACTTGGTCCGTATTATGCTTCGGCATGATTCCAGGGGGCCGGTCCTCCCCAAGTGCTTCGATAGAGGCTGTAGGAGAGGATGCTACTTGATTTTGAAGGGCGATCCAGGTTGTCGAGATGTCGTTCTATACAGTAGAGGATTGTTGTCTGACAAACCCGCGATCACTTTTTCGTTATTTTTTCCGCGAACATCTACGTTTCATCCATCAGGTGGTTGCTGGCAATAAAGAGAGGTCGGTTCTTTTGTTCCGTGACAGTCTCGTAAAACTATTTCCTTTGAAGAGCCATGCTTTATTCAAGAAAGCGGAAACTCCTGCGGACGAGACTCTGGATTTAGTTGATTTAGTTTTAGTTTTATTTCGAGCGATCAAAGGGAAAAGGTTTGAGAGAGCGACCACATATTGGTGCGCCATCTTAAAAATTATAATTTAACGTTATAATATAACTAATAAATTTCTCTTAATCGTAAACAAATTTCTGTATTTTTCTGCGAAACATTTAAAACACGTAAAACAAATAATGCTTGATATCGAATTTTTATCTAGGTCTAACTCAACAAATGTATTGTATTACAGATGATATTTTTCAATCGATCAGTATTGTTATTAAGAAGTAATTTGGCGTGCATGATGAAATTTCGAATCGGTCGCATATTTTCTGCGAAGCCACGACAGAAATCACGCGAATCGTTACGCGAATATTACGTGCCATACATTAGTCTGTGACGTCGTCGCTGACTTATCGGATTGACTTGTACGAGCTTAATATCGATCTCGTATTCTCTAAGTATCGAGACGTCGACGTTGATGACGATGTCGGTGTGTGTCATCGCCGTTGCTGTTGTATTGCCGTGTGATAAAGTAATCTGAATTAATTGGCCCCTAATTAATTAATGTAAATCACCGACGCGAATCGATTCGCCAAATTAATGGTTCACGGACGGACGAGCAGCACCAGACTCTCTCGAATTGTCGGGCAGGCGAGGACCTCTCTCCTTCTCTCTTTTTTTTTTCGAAGGTTTTCGTGCGAAACGTGCGGGGGAAGAAACCGCGACGACGGAAAGGGGGTTGAGCTCTTGACATATTGCTATCTAGGCAACTCAACAAAGTGCTCTTCAAGTTCTTCTTGTCTACATCTACCCTTGCCATCGCTTCTTCTCTCGTCCGGCTTCTTCCTTTCCCCTCGTCGCTCTCTTCTCACGACGTGGACGAGCCGTCAGTCCGCATCGCGGTATCGTAGGTGTTGCAAGTACTTTGGCTTAGGTTTGCTCAAGTACAATCGTCGCGTGTGGGATTGCATTCAACGTATCGGAAAATTCGTCCTGCGGTTTGAGCCAACAACGATCGAAGTAATAATCTCGAGGGCGCACGTACGTGACTCCTTATTTGTTTTCTTCCGCCGTTTATCGCTTTACCCTTTGCTTCCGGCTGCGTTCTTAGAATTTTCCCTTCTGATTCAGGAACGTTAAATTTATCAACCTGCTGCTGTGGAACGACATTGAAAGCTTTCCGATAATTCTTAAAAAAACATTTAACGAAACGTGCGAATTAGGCTGAGAAACGTGTCCGAGTGTTCAAACACGTTTTCACGTTCTCTCGAAGGAACGGAATAGCTCTGTGATAACTGTATGATGGTTTTGTGTGTAAATAATATAAATTTTCGTTCGCGAAAAATAATTTCAGTTATAACTCGTGCAAAAATCATAAGTATATATTTTTATTTAATTTTATTAAAAATCTTTACTAACGGGCTGAAAAGAATTAATTTTAATAATATTATTACTCTTAGATTTAAATATAAAGTACAATTTATAAAAATTACTCTTATAATATTGAAACAATGAATACAAGAAATATTAGTATTTATTAATTTTTACGTATTTATTTTTTTAATTTATTTAATTAATCGTAAATTATTTGGATTAAAATTTATGAGATTTTAAAATATTTTGTAAGAATATTTATGGCTGTGAGTATTTAATATAGCCGAGCTTTGCAAAAATATTTTGATAAGCGACTATAGGCGCTCTTAGTAAAAGGTGAAAATTACATTGTTCACATGTGTGTTACAACAAAAGTTACATGTCCTTTCAATGCAGAGATTTGATTCATATATATGTGATTTTAAAAAAGAAGGGAAAAGCCGGGTTCACGATACCAAATCACGTGCCAACACGCAGCGTTCAGACGAACAAGTAGGTTGACAAGCACTTAGGTAGATTACTTTTTCTTTGCTCTCAAAAAGGGTTTTTATCGTCAAACTATAATAAAGTTTCTTGACGTTGATTTGCGTTTGCAATCCGAATTCTTATAACAATAATTAAAGTTTTCGCTTTTACACGTACGTGTATAAGTACATGTATGACTCCGTCTTTTGAAAGAAACTTCCGATTTTGCGTTATTTGGAAATGTTACTGATTTCTATCGTGATTTTCTCAATGCAACGTAGGAGTGGGCAGCAAAGTGTTATCGATGAGAGTTTGCATAGGCATTGTTTTGTAGTTTGCTGCTAAATGCTCCATCCATCATTCTCTATCTTGATGAAATATTCTACTAGTTCCTATTCACACTGTATAAACTGCCTGATTCGAGCGGTAGTTTGCTAATTGTGAACCCTCATTATATCCGATACACAACACTTGTGAATAAGAATAGTACTTTCTGTATACAATTTATTGAAATGTCATCAATTCTACGAGAGTCTATTACGGCCCTAGCTTATATTAAACTGTATGATTCTTATTATAAAGAATCTTTTTTATTTTATAAATTTATTTTATAAATTTATTTTATAATTTATATAATTTATAATTTTATTATTAACAATAAAATTAAATAGGATGACTTTTGTCTTCCTCGTATTTGAAGAATAAAAAATTAAATTCACTAATATACAAGATAATATAAAATTAGAATATTGTTGAAAAACGTGTACAATGTGTCTATTCTGTTAATATTATAATTTATTTATAAATTTAAATTATCTCGAAAAGGGCCAAAACCTATGGTCGAAACGTCGTGATTGTGATTTTTTAACTCAATAAATATTGCCAGTGCTGATCGTTTTTAACTACCTCTATAATTTATTTATATTTATTATTTACTTAAAATAAGCAAACAGCTATTAAAGCTTTTATAATAATAATATAAAAAGAAAACTGTAGAAAAGAGATTGCGACTCGCCCTCTAATTGTCTACGTGAATACGTATTCTACGATATAGATTTCTTTCTGTGTTACACTTCTGCTTGGGATCTACTTAATTTAATTTAACGTTACTCAGATCCGCGTGAATTTGCATAAGAATATAGCCCGAGGCAATGGCCCGGTCCGAAGACTTCGTTAAAGAGGAATTTACAATTTCTCTCTGCCTCTGTAAAGTCGGCGAGATATCAGACTCTCCGTAGCGGACTTGCGAATATACGATTGTTCTAAATACTCGTCGTACTTGCTCAGTCTAGAGAACGTCGTATATTTTCAACTACGCTCTTATACACGGATCGTCTTCTTCGTCTTTGCAAAAACAACGCTCTCGAATCCAAGATGCGTCTGGAGATTAATGCTGGTCTGGAGATTTTACGTGTCTCCCGCTTCCATAATCAATCTCACGCCGCTTTATACATTCCAATTAACTTGGACTAACCGGCCGACTTCCTATAGGTAATTTCCTATTAATATCCTCGTCGCGCACGCGGTGACCTGGATCGATAAAGTTTCAAGATACTTTCGCCTTGTGAATATAAAATTTCGCGCGTTTCATTAATCGACGACGTATAAAGCATCCTTTAAGCGCACTTTCGCGCGGAGATGCATTTCCCACGTAGAAGAGAAATCGTGCCTGTCGCCATTTTTTTTTTTTCATCCCTCAATTCAAGACGCCACGTTTTTTCTGATTGCAGGTGATATGGGTGTGCATCCTTTGCCGGAAGAAGCAGGAACTTCTTTCGAAGACCGGACAATGGATGTCGAAGACGAGCCTCAGCACCGTGGACAGCGCGCTGCTGCGACAAATGCAGGAGGACTTGCAGGTGGGTGGTCGTCAGGGACTCGCGGACCAAACTCGGGATAAAAGACCGAAACTCGAGAGGGCGCACAGCGCGGCTGAGAAAGAGAATTTGCCGTTATTACAGAGAAGCGGAAACTGTCCTCTCAGGAGACAGTACTCCCAGCAAGAGCAGGTAACGTTCCCCTCGCTCGCCCGATATTCTTGTCGGAACGCACTCTTTTATTTACGAAGCCAGACACCTTTGCGCACGTATGCTCCCGCGGATGCTCCTATAAAGTTCATAAATATGTAGAGTTACATCGCGATAAGTTCGCAATATATATTTTTCGCATCTCTGCTGCTTTACTTATTCATATATGAGCGGAAAAAGAGGTCGAAGCGCGCGTTCCCGCGTCACAATCGAAGGAGAGATCAGCCCGCGCCCTCGTCAAATGTGATATCGTCGAAGCGCGATAGGTGAATTTCGGTTTTGTGCTTGCAGATCTCGGGTCGCCGTATGTCCACGAGCGACAGTGGGGTGGAAATGTCCGTTTCCCCTCACGCGAGAAGTTTACCGACGCCTCACGTGGTTGGTTCTTACCCGATGCAACAAACTCCGAGACACCCTGCAGTCTATCCCGACGACGATCCGAATTTATACCGAGGCGAACTCGATGGCCTGATGAGACAACATCCGCAGAATTATCAGAGGCAACGGTCGACCTATCAAGTAAGGAGACCGATAATTTCCAGTCGATTCATGCTGAGAAAATTACGAGAGTCGAGAAATAATATAAATAATATAAAAATAATATAAATATATAATCATCAGTAAAATAGAGAGAACAATTTATCGTATATATCCATCTGGTGTAAAAGAAATTTAAATCTCCTTACATACATAAAAATGTTACGCAATACAATTTAATTTAATTAAGGGTTGTGTTAAGTATATTAATTGTTTCTTGTTTCATAAAGTTTTATAACATTTTTTTTTATTAATTATACAGACGATTGTTTTAACAAAATCTCAGTTTGGAATATTGTAACTCATCGGTTATTTTACGCAATGCAGGATCAGGGTGCGGATCTCGGGATGACTTATGGCCAGACACCGATGGAGACTGGTTCCATTCGTACCACGGTACATCCCTCTCAGCAGCATTCGATGCATCAAACACAGGGCGGACGTTCCGCGCAATCTGCGTCAACGGTGGGCGTCCAGCAACAAAGAAGTTTCAGTAGCAGCGAAGAGGAACGAAGCACACCGGAGTGCGCCAGTGACGAGCCGGACGAGTCGGAGAAAGGTAAGTGAATCCTCCAACTTGACATTTATTTCTCTAGTCTGTACAATGCTCGATATCAATCGAGTAAATTTATATTATACGCGCAATATAAGAGAAAAAAATTAACAGGATATTTTATTCAATATCATTTTTGCGGAATAAATTTGATTTAGCATGTTTAAAAGAAATTAACTCTCTCTAGAAAGAGTCGAACAATTCTTTAAAAAAATGTGCTCTTAAGGTATACTTATGATTTCATGTAAAATTTAAATAATTTTAGTTTAAAGGTGGAAACATTTTTTTAATTTAAAAAAATTGTTTAATTTAATAATTAATCAAAATTTAATTTAATTTTTTAATTGTGATGTATAATATGATAATATCACACATTCATATAAACTGCATCTTTTATGTCGGATCTTTCTTTTTGCCCATTTGCTATATTAACTTTTTGATTAGTTGGTGTAAAATTTATATATCTATCGTAATAATTTATTGCCGCGTAAAATTTATGACACATCTTGTAAAATATGCTATCAGTAGAACTTAAAATGGCCTAATCGCCTGCCAAATTTATTCCATAAGTGTGTAATGAAAACATTAGGGGGAGCTGAGAATTGGTAGGGTCTACTCTCTGCCCTTGAAAGTCGATGCACGAGGAAAGTTCAATATTTCCGTGTCAATGGGTATTTGGTTTACAATGAACGCGCGAGAACAACTCATGCCATTTGCAGGAGGAAAATGTAATCGATCAATCCAATGCTCATGTTTAATCACAATAACGCGTGCGCAACTATAAAATATCAATCAATTACACACATTGCATTAAGTGTGATTTGATGCAATTACATTGGTTTCTAGTATTTATATAGATGTAAAACAGTTACAATTACATTTATATAATTCTTTATAGACAATTTTTATTTATAAACTTTATGTTAAAATAAAAAAAGGATATTTTACGGACATGTGTAATAAAATACGCAAGATTACGCGCAAGATTGATGAAGGAAAAGAGAGAGATTCGTTCTATTTTAATTGATTGTCAAAAAATTTATAAATCACGCGCGCGTCCTCGATAATATTTTGCCGCCGCGTTTGTTTTTGTGTAACGTCACGTCTAGTTCGAAAAATCGGTCGAAGGTGAGAGAACGGTGTGCATGTATGCGATTCACAGTTGATTAAACGCGGGATCGGCGAACTGTGAACCGACTCATCCAGGTGTCGTGTGTAACTCTCGCAAAGTACAAGAATAACTTGTATTCTTTCCCTCCTTCTCTCTCTCTCTCTCTCTTTCTCCGCCGCGTGTTGTGTACCACTTTTTTCACGATGAAGGTCGGACACGTCGAGTTTCTGCGTCGATCGCACGGGATAAACATTAAAAAATTCCGTCGCGTTTCGAATTTCCTGTCCGACGCTTTGGGTCGTCGAATTAATAATCGCCATAACGCGAAGATTGATGACTGAATGCGTGCATTAAAATTTCCATGAAAAAAATACGCGCTACAAAATTCCCCTCAGCAAGCATCGCGTTTAAACAAGACGCTTGTAGCTCCTACATCAAGTGATGCTGTGCACTTCGTAAACGCGAAATCGAGATGAGAAGAGGGGGAGAGAGAGAGAGAGATCGCGATGAATAGGTACGGTTGCATTTAATAATTTTTGCGAGAATGCATTGTAACGCATGTGAAATGCCACGTTACGTAACTTGATGCGCACATATCGATTTTATAATGGCCAACGCGCTCGTGGTGTGTTTCTCCAGTTTTCTAACGATCCTTGCCAGCGTCTAATATCGACTGGATTTGACACGCGTGATCATCGATCGCGGGAAAAATGGGGAAAGGAGAGACGAGAAGAAGTTGGCGAGGAGGAAGAGCGAGAGGAAGGGGATGTCCGAGCGAGGGTTATTCGTGCCACGTTCGTTAAATCCATGATCGGAACTCCACGATTGCGTATCGCGCGTCCGCGTATCGCCGCCAGTATCCTGCGGGAATTCTCAGGTTCTGTCCTCCCGGTCTCGCCGTTGCATTGATCCTTGGCACCCCCCCCCCCGACCCTCTTTCTCCCTTTCCGCTCATCCTTCGCCTTCCATCCGTCCCTCTCTATCTCTCTCTTTCGTTTACCGCGGTCTTCCTATATTTCCACCCCTCTTCTTCCTTCTTGTTGCCTCCCGCTCGCGACGCCCACACGCTGCGCGTGACGTCACGCGGCCAACACGTGGGCGAAATTCAAACATCTGCTCTCTTCTTCATTTCGAGATAGTCTTCGACCCCTATCCAAGTCAGGACTGGGCGGTCAGAAAAATGCGACCGGCTCAAAGATTCAAAGTTACTCTCTCTTTTGGGCAATCTATCGAATAATCATCTTGGGAATCATTTTTTTCTTCCGGACGCGTGAATTTACTAGTGCACTTTGACTCTTTGCACTTCGTTGACTCGATCTCTCTGGTCTCTCTTTTATTTCCGAAAAATAATACTCTGTTATTTTGTTTTCGAGATATATATACTCTCGTATATTGTACTACATTTTTATCCTTTGGCAATGAATGAAAGGGCTGGTAAATTTAATGTTTCTCCAGCGTCGCTTTTCACGTTAATTCAACTGTAACTCTAAACAACAGTAACAACGCGTATGTTTATTTTTTTCGAGAAATAAAAAAAATGTTTTCAACGAAATGGGGTTATGAAATGTCATCGGGAGCACAATGAAGATCACGTGAACCTACACCCGGTGGTGCGCCACCCTTCCATGCGGCTCGTTACTTATGAACGGAGGTTGAAAACTTTGACATTTTCCCTCTCTCCTGGGAACGATGAAAGGATTGCGTATCGTGTACGATCACGCTTTTCGAGTCTACCGACTAGGGCACCGACGCGTGTTATGTATTTTCTCGCATACATTTACAGGGTTTCGAGAATTTTCCTGGCTAATTCGTCGATTATTTTCACAATTATGATCATCCCCTGATAAATGAGAGAAATATCCGAGGTATCTCGAGTTAAAATCTTGCTTCTATTTTCAACTTTAATTTTTTCACGCTTATAAATTCTGGAAAATTTCATTAAATTTAATTATAGAAATTAGACTACCCTATTTTAAATAAACAGTAAATAAACAGTTTTTTTCCACTTGAAAGTTTAAAAAAGGGACTTTCGACAGAACTATAAATTAAATAGTTTAACGAAAGGATGATGCTTAAAATTAATGCTGGATTAAAAATTAAAATAAAAAATAAGAAAAAAATTTCGATTCGGGCAGTTGGTTATATTAACATCTGCAATGTTTTCACCAACACCGTTGAGGTTTTTTGCGTATTTACGGCATAATTTAGATTGAACCTTCTAGGACGGGGCGAGGAGGGGAGTTAGGCAGTCTCATATAAATTTAATCCAAAGACATTGCAATTTGACGGTCGGACGAGCAGGGCTTTGGTGCTGTATTCATTTTTTACCATGGAGTTCTTGCTTTCTTCTCATAAATCTGGTGCCGCACGTGCATCGAAATTAGCTTTGGTGTTTTACGTAGGAACCAAAGCGCGTATCTGTATCGCGAAGAAAATAGATGCTGGGACAGTAGGAGGGAAAATTCATTTAATTTTCTACTGTAATAATTTTGGTACGCTGTGTAAAATATGTCGAATGCACGATAAGCGCATACTTTTTTATCTTAATTAATTTATAGGATGGATGAACGTTTGTCTCTCCAATCCTTGACATCAATTTCTCAAAAATGTTCCATGGATACCAATTTCTTTCAAGCTTTCGCTGCTTGCTAATAATTGAAAATAAATAAAATTGGCTCAATGAGAAATCTCTGAGAAAAGGCAACGATTTACGTTTAGTTATTGACATATTTAAATTCAAACGATTTACGTAGTTATTGACATATTTAAATTCAAAAATATGTGGGCAGCTCTATGCGCCTACCGTATATCCGGTGATGCAAATAGTAAAATCAACCCTTGTTAGACTTTACAGAGTAGCAGCTTTAATCCCACTCTCTATGCTCTCTTCTCCTTCATATATTTATTCCTCCATATTTATTCCCGCGTCGGAGGGCTTTATAACTGTTTATCTATGTCGCTATTTCCACTTGATTACTGTATTGGTGCGCGATAGCCTGGGATAAACACGGAGGCCAGAATCAAGCGTCGCCACTCTGAAGACTATGTTGGTATACGTATCAAAGACACGCATCGTGCCATCTTGTGTGACGCACGGCCTTTGCCTGTGCTCTTCAATAAAAATGCTAATAATAGCGATAATGCAGATCCATATATACGCGACAGAGTTCTTCATTCGTTTCGTATTTTTTCTTTTCTATATATCTCTTTTATATCAAGCTGGAGACTTTGCAAAAAAAGTTTAGATAACCATATAAAATATCTTTATTATTATGAAGATTTTATTCGAACGAAAAAAAATCGCGAGAGACGCAAAATGATGCAATGGAAAAACGTGCATTGGATGATCGATCGCGCATTTTTCAAGCTGCGAGATCAGTGATCGATTTCGATGTAATCTTAATTTAATTGATCATTTGTCCCTTTTCAGTTTTGATTCTAAAGAATCGGATTTAGTTAAATTAAAAGTATTGAAAAGCGTACAAGAGATAAGACAAGGTGCACATAACTGAACGTATTTTGTTAAGAAGCCTGACGAGCAGAGATGATTATTGCGACAAAATCATAAGTTAAGGGCCGAATCACAATGAATAATCGTGATAAATGTGTGAGAATCGTTTTAAATGAACGCGAGAGAAGCGACGGCCTAGTCTGACGGTTGTTGTTGCTCCCATTCGTAGATGCACAATACAATTAGAGAATAGAGATTTAGTTTGCGTGTGTATGTAGCAACTCAAGAAAGAGAGAGAGAGAGAGAGAGAGAGGGAGAGAAAGGGAGGGAGAGAGAGTTATGTGTGTTTATATATTATATTCAGGCAATTGCTTCTTTTTGATACCTGGAGAACCTGGGTTGTGTCAAAAACAAGGCACGTGTCTCCGGAATGGACACAGAAAGAGAAGGGGAAAATATTTATACAGGATAAATTAATTGTCAGAGGAGAGAGATGTTTGCTGTACAGTTGATGCAGTTGTCGGTAATCTACTTGGCTTAGCAGTTTCCTCTCGGCAATTTTTTTTTCCCCGCCGTGTATACGTTACATCTTTCAGCTCCGGAATTGATATTAGGGGAAGATTCTTTTTTTTTTTCTCTCGCGCCGTTTATCGGCAAGCGAATCCAGATTAAATAATCCGCTCCTGACATTCGACTGATAGTGTGTAATTCGACACGACGGATAATAAACGCTTGTAAAACCGCCGCAATATCTAGAAAAAAAAAAAACCCCCTCTTTCGCTTATCGATCACGCTATCTCGAGTGAGATAGCGAGCGGAGGAGGTACTCGGCATTTCGAGTTTGCTCAATTTCGTTATCGCGGTAATGAGCCTCCGTAGGCGCGGTTTTATCCAACGCTTCCGAACTTCCGGGGAGCTTAGCGAGACATTTTTTTTCGCGCGAAATGGGAGCATAAACGAGATACCAACGACGACGGTGACGACGACGCGAAAGTGGGCGTAAGGTTGGCGCCGGGAATGGGGCGGTAAAATCTCAGAGTGATTTATACAGCGGTGAGTCGCGGTGTCATCTAACTTTTAAATTAAGATTCTTTGCACTTTTCTTCCCCCCCCCCCCCTTTCCCGCCGGTCTTCTTTCCCGCGCGCGCGTTATTTGCCGTAACGACATCTGCTCGCGTTCACCCCTCTGCATTCACCAGCCGCGTGAGCGTCATCGGGTACCTGCGAATGCATGACCCTCTCTCTCTCTCTGTCTCTCTCTTTCTTTTTCTCTCTTTCTCTCTATTTTGCCTACTTTACGAACGCGCGATTTAAACGTCCGGCTCCCATCGCTCCGAGTTCCTTCCGTTTTACGAGAACGGACGTCGGTTACCTCATAAGATCCCGATGTAAAGGGAGGCTTTCCAGATTTTCTTCATCCCGTGGACAAATTCCCGAGTCAAAATTTTTCTTTCTGTTCTCAGTTTTCAATCCAGTATCTACCTTGATACCTCAAATACAGTCAGATCAGCAGTGTTTTGTACCTGTATAATTTGTAGTTTTGTTAAAAGGTTCTCTTTTGAATCTCTGACAATGAATGGGGACCTTCGTCTATTGGGGTATAAAATGGGAGAGCTCAATTTTTATACAAATTAAACTCTTTTATCGAAATCCTCTAGACTCTATGAACGTGAGAAAATTGGGATTGAAAATTGGAGCAAAATTTTGACTCGGATTTCGCACTCGGAGTACGCAATGGCGGAAATCGAGTCTCTTGGATGCAACCGAGTGTATTAATGTAATATTATTCGCGGTTAAATCGGTTCCATTGTTAAATCGCGCCTTCGATCGTCAATGGAGCAACTCTCTCCAGCAGCGTAACTATTGCTTTTATTGTCTCTCGTTATGCCGTAATATCGAGAGATCGCGCATTTCGACTTACGGATATCAAATGCACACTATCGCGCGGAACATGGATATATAAGTGTCATTGAATGATATAAGGATGTTCTCTCTTGGCGATCGTATAGCCAATTTGTTAGTTTTACGAGCTACATGAATCTTTATCGCGCTACGTATGTACTTGTATATTATACAGGACGTTAAAAACTATCAGATGTGTTCTTTTAAGAGCAGATTCTCCGGCCAATCTGAAGATGATGTTTTTTTCTTAGAAAAAAATATTGAAACATTAATAATTTTTTAGTTATAAAAGTGATTGAAAAAGAAAAGCTTTTCGCAAATTAAACTTTGTAAAGTTAAAGTATCAAAAAAGGATCAAAATTGCATTTTTAAATTAATTTCTGCTGGAATTTATTTGGTAGAATTTTTTTAATTTGAAGCTTAGTTACACAAAGTTATAAAAAATTAGAAATTTGCGAAAAATGATAATCTTCCTTCACATTTTTTAAAGAATTATCTCTAAATGGAACAGAGGATCTACTATTATTAAAAGAACATCTGTTTTGTGAGACAGCCTGTATATGGCGCATTTGAGATTTTCTCCACTCAATATAATCCTTACAATTCCCTCGATCTAAAAATATTCTTTTGCATATACGATTTCCGCTTATGATCGCTGACATTTAATGTACGATCAATAAAGATTTAATTGTGCGTTTCTTTCAGTGAAAGAATTAACAACAGATCACAACTCTTGCGCAACATCATCTGACGTCAAAGAATCATTTGCATTTGCGGTTTTCGCCGCGCGATTGTACAAAATATATCATTCACTGTTAAAATTCAAAGCTTTCTTATTTTATTTCGCGCGATATTTACAATTCACCGATGTCCAACGATTCTCAACTTGTCGCAGTGTTCTTTTAATTTTTCAATCTCTTTGCGTTAATTAAACACCGAGCACGAAATTGCGCGTAGATATTTCTGTGTTCCTCCAATTGCATATCGTACTGTGGTATTACATTATATAGCATCAATCCATCTTCCTGATGTAGGTGAATGAGAGACGTCGCAGCGCATTATCTCGCGATTAGCGATAAGTCAACAGTGTGTTGTGTGATGTATATAGTTAAAGGGAGATCGGCTTTTAGGGCAAAAGCCGCCGCAGCTAGTGATGACTTCCAGGGGCTCGCGGGAGAAGGTGGCAGACAGAATGAAATTCTGTGAGCGGCAATTCTCCGCGGTACTTAATAATTTTATTACGTAAAAATATCAAGCAAACATCATCTTTCGCTATATATATATACTATATAAATATATAAATATATATATATATATATATATATATATAATTGTATGTATACTTATATAAACATATATAATACGTATATCTGTGCGTATGCGTGTGCATGTGTGTGTACGTATCTCTGCCGAACGGTCGCGCAGCTGTTGAGTAACAGAATTTATTTTTTTTTCTTTTTATTTATTATTATTATTAAAAATTACATGCGTATACATTTTTTTTAAATTTCGCCTAATTTAATTTCAAATAAAGATTGATCGGGAAAACGTACCGTCCGCGCGCTTAATTGCGCGCTTAATTGTTTTGTCGAGAATTTTTTTTATATTATCCCTCGCGCGTATATTTTTGCGAAACTCTCCGTCCGTTTTTTGCGGCCTCGGGGCACACCCACGTGATGTTATAATGTGAGAATAATGCGAGTACGTGCCAAAGTAAATTTTTCTACGGAGAAAATGCAATCTTGCCTGCTTGCGCGCGCGTAGCTCGCGAAATAAGCTCGCGTATCGCGTGACGCGACCGATCGGCACAGAATTGTAATAGATTTTATTTGTTCTACTTTGGACGGCTATGAATCGTGCACACAGGTATATTTTTATCCACTCTACACCTCAAAAAAATACGTACACGTACAACTCTCACAAATATTGCGCCTCTCGAAATATCTTCTACTCGCTCGCTACATATTTCAATATCTGCATAGACTGTGGATACCCGTTATTGAGGGGTAATAACGGCTGTGATAGTAATATTATGTTCTTTATCAAATTTGGGAATTATGTTACATTTTATTTTTCTCTCGTGTTTTAAAAAGTGCTATTGGCATTTGTACGATAAAGATCTACATTTGTGCTACATTTTTAAAATAAAATTAGGATAATAATATGTTTTACGTGTTCTAAAAATGTATCGTTTTTTTAGATAATCACTCATGAAACTGAAAAAGCAAGAATTTTGAAAGTTTCAAATAATTATATAGAAATATATTTTAAAAATACATATTTTTCTGGTAATGTACGAGTCGTAAAAATTTATATTCTTTTCCTTTCTCTATTTTTATAAATTTTAAATTTTAATAAAATTTCCCAAACTCACTTTTTGATCCCAATTTCCTGAATAATTGTAAGAGCATCGATGATTATTTAATGGCGCATGCGAGATGTAATCGTACAGAGGCTAAAAATAAATCTGTATCTTTCTGTTTGTATTATAATTTTTCGTGTTTCTACATCTCTGTCCAATTTTGTGTAATACACGAATAAGAATCTCTATGTCTACCACTTAAATCCTGCTGTTCCAAGGAAACCTGTTTCAACGCAGAATCTTAGATGGACAAATTGTAACTTATCGTTATGCACGTAATACGCGCACACATGTACACACACAATCACACGACCCCTCTGCATATTTTTACGCATAGTCGTCTCTCGCCAGTCGTGTACGCAAATTCAGAAGTCGTATTGCGATTCTACTTAATGCTTCCAGAAATCGTCTACCGCACATTTATCGCGGGCAAGCTTGCACCGCCTTATTCCATTTTTGTTAGGTATATCGCTACATACACAAAACGCACACACACGAAGCTGATGCGCGAATCAGAAAGAGAGAGAGAGAAAAAGAGAGAAAGAGAGGAGCAGGTGAACGAGAGGCATCGCAAGAATGTGCGTCCATGATTCGAGAAATAAGAACCGAAACAATATATCGAGACACGATAGACCTGTCCTCGATCATCCCGAAAGACGGTAAAATTAAAAAAAAAAGCGTATACGCCGAGAAAGAAGGCCGAGAGAATAAGCTTCTCGGAGATGACGAGACTTTTGTAGTAAAATTAAGGGGATTGTCAAAAAAAAAAAGAGAGAAAGAGAGAGAGAGAAAACGAAAAAACGTTTTGGATCTACTGTAGGGAAGGGGTACTACCACCACGCGGGAGGTCCAAAATCGATGTCCAGTGGTGGGCGTAGGCACAACGGATCCCACAATGGGCACCATGGGTCGGGCGCGGGCACGGCCGTCGAGCATAACGGCCACCATCCACCGCGAGAGCCGCGAAAGGAAGAGAACACTCTGGTCAGACGGAGCTTCCGAAGATGCGGCGACGAGTGGCGCTCCGACAGTAGGAGGTGCGTTTTTTTTTTTTTCACAGGAGATCGCGTGCGAGGCCGCTTTTTCTTTTCTCGCTTCCTCACTGATTTTACAAACGCGTGTCGGGGTCCCGGAAATGGTGCGGCGAATATTTATTGATTTATTCACGACGGGATCGCGCGTCGCCGAAATCTCCGATTGCACAAGTTTGAGCATCTCTCAGGTAGCCATTTCTCGATCTGCAACACGAAAACAATGTCTCTGTTTTTTGTCAAGTTTATGCGAGAAAATGTTACAATAGAAATAATAATTTTCTGTTTAAACCTGAGGGACTATGATAAATGTCGTAGTTGAATTTACAGATATATTGCTACTTGTCCTGTCAAAATTACGATGCAATTTATCGCTTTGCGAGAATCTGTTGAATTAGATGAATATAAATTAGATGAATATGACGAACTTTTATTAATGGAGTTTTTAAAATTGAAAAGTTTTTTATATCGTTTATGATATCGCGTTAATATTATCAAGTGATATTTTTGTTTTTTGCTTCTTTATGAAAAATATTTAAAATTAAAATTGTATCCAAATTTAAGTTGCAATTATATATATAATGTGAAGCATATAAGGTTCTGACAATATTCATAAACGTTATTAATTAAATTAATTGAAATAAAATATGAAATCGATATAAATATGATCTATCCGTATCGTATTCTAAGTCCATCTCAGCGATTTATTTCTTGCAAAATTTCTCTATATTCTAAAAGAATCTGAATGTGAAGAATGTGAATCTTCATTGCACGTGTATACAATAATGATTAAAAATGAAAGTTTGATAAGTTGATTTTCAGTAAAACTTTTTACGTCATTAAAATATTTCATTAAAATATAAATTGAATATTCTAATTCAATATTTATAATTATCTCTTCTATCTTTGATTCAATGTAATATACAATAATTTAGAACACATATATAGAATGCTTTTATTATTTTTGACGACAATTTTGTGATGATGAAAGATTAGCTCCAGTTGAATTCATATTTAAATGCGAAAATAACTTTTTGACCAACGAATTCGAAAAAATATCAAACAAAAAGATAAAGCGTAGAGCAATATATATTATGTTCGCAAAATAGACATGATTGTTATCGAAATTTTTTTATTGGAATGACATCGCACGCTTCGTGTGAAAATTTTGTAACAAATTAAGGTAAATCAAGAAACAAACTTTTACAATTGGAGATTTTCCTCTCGTTACACCCTATTAATGTTCTATTATAAACCAAACATTCGGAAAACAAGAGGTAGATATTTGAATCGCACACTTCGAGCTCAAACACTCGGACCGAAATTTGCGAATCACGGCGCGGGACTAATATACACGATAAATAAAATGCAACCCTCGCACATGAACCACCTATCCGTGTCTCTCTGTGTATATGGCGTGTCTATTAGGTTCACGGAGAGGAGGGGGAAAAAGACAGTGCGTTTTGATGGTGGGACCAATGTCGGCGGCCCTCAGGAGGAGGAATGGTCTTGGGAGGCCGATCGGCAGGGTAGCCAAGACAGCGCGACCAAAGACTCCGGGATAGACACTTCTAGCACGTTCACGAGCAGTGAAGACAGCAACAGGGGCGATCTGCCCAAGGTACGGGGCCGGGTTACGAGCGAGTAACGTCAACCGGCTCGTAAGAACGCTAGAGAAAACGCTTCTCGAGTTTGTAGCGAGTAGATCGCGGTCGATGGTGGTGTAGAAGGCAGGGGCCTACGATAGACGGAGTCTAAGAATAGATCGCCGGTACTTTTCGCCGGAGATCGAGTAAAAGGGGTTTTCCAACGGTACTTTTTTTGTTGCATCGATCGAGAGACCGCACGATACAGATGATATATATACTTTTTATCACGCGCTCACGCTACTTTTATAGGCGCTAATCGCGCCGGATACGTCAAAGCGGAATAATAACGTCGTCCAAAGTGGAATACGGTTACTTTCTTTCCAGCTCCTCGCTTTGATAGCGTTAGCAAAGAGGCATTGGAGGGATGGCTTATTGATTGATTGCAATTAGCGTGCAGCACGTGTAATTAGTTATTACTTTCGGATTACAATGTGTGCCAGGAGAGGCGAAGTTTCAGGGAGGGAAAGTTTATGCTGAATTGATTGCCAAGATACTGATTTGATGTGCGATTCAGAGAGGTGTAATACGTCGTAATTATCAAGTTACTGAACATTTGACTTTTTTTTTCTTTTCTTTCCTCCACTTGGTGCGGACAGGAGAGAACCTCTTTTGCTCGATTAATCCTAAACTTCGTGCTTAAAGGCTTGTGTGCTTGTGTTCGTTTTGATCTCGAGGTTTATTTGTATAACTTATTTGTATCACATCGGCTTTTTTTATATTTGACATATGTATATATATAAAAAAAAATTTGAGCTCATCTGAATCCCTGAAACTGAACTCACGGAATATCTTGATTATTGATTTTCGATTCTTAAATGATCGATATGACACACAAATAATTATTTATTATCGTTCCTAACGAGATCTTTTAATGGAATTTTGTGAAAGAAAAAGAACAGGATTATTTTACTACTCACAATACTCCGTGAATTCATAAGTTTTAAGTAGAGAGAAAATCGTCTTTTGAACTACAACTCTTTTGCGTCAGACTTTTTTTCGATCCATTCCATTGTGCCTCTTTCCGACTGAAATCTACTGTAATTTTCAAGAGTTTTGCAACGTAGATTTAATAGACGACGACAAGATTTATGTACTTTTAAACAATGAATATCATTTCTGACATTCATTTCTCTTCTACGCCACTTTCAAGTTAAAATACATTATCTAGTTGAATTTAATTTGCAACTAAAAAAAATATATACATATAATTGCAGATAATCGATTCGATATTAGAGGTCTGAATTCTTCTGCAAACAATTAGAATAGCATTTCGTTTCATATGTAATCTATTTTGCCAATTTTATTTAAATTTAATCTGTGATTGCACAATTTCGCGAAAACGGAGGATATTATACGCAAAAGAATGAATAGATTTCTTAAATAATAAAAATAAGCGATAAAAAGAAGCAATTACGGCTTGATTGCAGGTTATCGTTCCTATTCTTCGGTTGAAAATACCAGTTAAAGTGATTCGAGCACTATCTATGTGAATCGAATCAAATTATATAATTGACTGCAAATACTTTTATATGAGAACAAAGATTATTTGATTTAATGTTTATTTCTATCGGACAATTTATAGCTACTGATCAATATTCCCAATTGTGTCTTCCAACTATATTAATTGTAATGATATATAAGATTTATTTCCAATTAAGAGACGAATAAATAGAAATGTGCTGCAAGTAAATCACCTAAAGAATATCTCACCTAATTTTTTTTATCAAGAATATCACACAGATTTACGTGTTAAGTGATTGCAAAAAAAAAAAACAGAAACGATCGAGAATCTGACAGATGCCGTGATTTGCGTAAAGTTTATGAACAATGTTGCGTACACCGTTCATAATATCCGAAGGAAAATGATAGACGTGCGGGTCGCGTTCCAATTATACGAAGCAAATAATCAGAATTAAATTCGCCGAGAGTAAACGATCGGGTAATTTATTTAGCGACGACTTACCTACTATCTCTCTAAATGACTCTGATCGCGGTCAATCTTTCTCGCTCTTATTTCCCAAAACGAGTCACGTTGCTCTGCGTTGCTGGCTTTCATTCTCGCGGACTAGAGTGGAAATCGCTCCCGCGAAGGTATAAAAAGTAGCGGGGAAATTAAATATCAATCGTATTCGCGTATTTCTGCCGACGAGCCAATCGGAGCAGAAGACTTGGCGACGCGGGAAATTAATTCACGCAATCGATCGACAATCATCTCGGCAGACGCGGATCTATTTACCTTGTTGTCATCTCCTTTCAGCTTGATAAAACTGAAAAATTTGACTCGAAGCGGACTATCGCGCCGATCCAAAATGATCCAATTAAGGAGCCGGCGAATATTACCAGGCTCTTGAAACAAAAGCGTATCTGTTTCATAATTAATCGAATTGGAACGCGGCCAAAGGGTATAACAACACGGACGAGACTTGACGACCTCGTTAGTTGTCATCTCGATCTGAGCAAAGGATTTTTTTTTAAATATCTCTTCTCTCAATTGTTACGATTCCGAGCGGTTAACTGTTGTACCAATGTATTGCAAAAGATTTGTATTTAATCGTTTAAGCGAAGAATAGCGTAATTGCCGTTCTGACATTCGATCCTGCCGGTTCTACGATTTCAATATGTCTGGTGGAATTCCGACCTTTTGCAATTTGTATCATTAATACAAATACGAGCGAAAGGATCGTTTTATTGAAACGATACTAGTAATTTCAAACTTATTTCACACATTTTACTGGCGTAAAAGCAGAAATGGATTATAAAAATATAAATCTGTAAAAACATTTGTGCGGTTTTTTTTTTATTATGGCCAGTTTTGTGGATCGATTCTCCTAATTTATCATAATAACGTCCAAGCAGGATTAATGCGACTATTATTGCTATTAAACACGTTATAATAAAGAAAAAAAAGAACGCTCCGGATGGAAGTTTGAGTTAAAATTCTGTTTTACAAGACCTCGAGCTTGTAAATCGCGTGTATCGATGATAGAGCAGCTCTATTCGATAGGATAGAAACCGAGGCGACCCCTCTCCCTAAAGTAGATCCACCTTGTGTGACGTATCGTTCTCAGGTAGATACATCACGCGCTCAGGATTTTTACCCAGTATTACGCATATCCGACGACCACGCAGTGTTACTTGCATGCCTGTGTGTACACTTTTTTCTGCATTTTTGCCTTCAAAGGTATTCGGCGACTGAATGTTCCGCTTGCCAATACGGAATGTCTTATACAAGATTTGCTAGTTTCACGCATGTATCGCATGTGGTAGTGTGTGACTACTAATTTTCGTTCTTATATATGCTACATATTACAACAGCATGTATTGCTTGCCACGCTAATTATTCTCTACAGTCTAATTATTATAAAATTTCTCGTCGAATTATGTAGATGGTCTTTTTCGTTGAGAGAGTACGTGAAAAAGACATGTATTTTTATTTTCCAAGAGAGATAAAAAGAGCAGCTCATCTCGAATAATTAAAATTTCTATTCTCATTATTATAATATATTATAATTTATTGAATGATATTATATTATATTATTATTTTTTATGGATTATATTAATATTATTAAATCTTTCACACAAGTTGCCTAAGCGTATTCTCTCAAAAATCTTTCATTGACTCGAAAAACGATACAGCCTTCTTTATGCTCAAATTTTTTTGATAATGCGTGAAAAAAAATGTGTTATTGCAAAACGCAATGTGCGTATGTATGTGTATGTAATGAATATTGAATGCAAATAGTTGCAATGCATTTTTCAGTAGGATTAAGTTAATGTGTGTAGTATTTATTTTTTATTTTAGTTGTTTTAATAGATCATTATAATGTGGAAATACGCCAGAATACTGGAAATTGAAAGGTATATCTCATAAAAATGACATGTGTCTTTGGATCATTTTGCAAGTTATAATAAATTATTTTTAAAATGAGACATTAAACGTAACGTTAACTCAAAACATTGCGTTGGAAAAACATTTTATCCTTTCCTGACGATTAAATCTAAGATTTCTCTCTCCAGAATTCGGACGTAAGTTCCAGTTGTAATTTTTGGTTTACGAAAGCATGCGACACTCGTTATCAGTAAAAGAAATACTATACGCGCTCCGTAGCACCCACTATCCTGGCAAGTGAGTGAGGACGGTCAGAAGATCATCGGCCACATGGTTTTGCGAAAATCGGCCGGTTCCGGAAGCTGCAGTAGTATACTCGGGCTAAAAGTTGTCGGTGGCAAGCTACTGGAAGACGGTTCCAGAGGCGCTTTGATCGAGAAGGTGAAAAAGGGTAGTACGGCGGACGTAGAAGGTCAACTTAGACCCGGTAAGAGGATTACAAAGTTCAAATCAAGCGATTTGGCGACTTTCTGAAACACGCGAGTCGCGGACAATATGTGTGTTACTTTATAGGAATCGCGATTATCACGCGCGAGCGAAAACACACGAGACACCTTTGACGCTATGTTTTAGAGAAATTGCAATTTCGATAATTAATTGCCAGACATATGTGTGTATATACAGAGTGTCCCATTTTAACTTTCACCCTCGAATATCTCGAAACCATGGCGGTTTCGGTGAAAATGTTTTAAACAAAAGTTGTATGGTTTTAAGGGGGCCATAAGATGGTGTCATTGGTTTTACCTTGAAAAGTCGTTTGAAGATCACCTCCAACTTTTTAAATAGGACACCCTATATACTTTTACATATTCTTGTAGCTTGCCTCGAGAGCTTTCCAAAACACTATAATTAAACATTTTTTCATTGAGTACTTTTCGAGTTATGAGGCTTGACATAATTTCTTAATTTTACATAAATCATAAAATATCTAGTAAAATATTCAGTTTTCGATTATCTTACCTTAATACTTTTACAAAATAATGAGAGGAATCAATTGGTGTAAAGAAAACACATAGTTGTTTCGAAAAAAAAATGTAATTTGCAATTAACAATTACATATTTTTTCTTAAAAATAACTATGTGTTTTCTTTATACCAATTGATTCCTCTCATTATTTTGTAAAAGTATTAAGGTAAGATAATCGAAAAATAAATATTTTACTAGATATTTTATGGTTTATGTAAAATTAAAAAATTATGTCAAGCCTCCTAACTCGAAAAATACTCAATGAAGAAATATTTTATTATAGTGTTTTGGAAAGCTCTCGAGATAAGCTACAAGAATAAGTAATACAAAATAGGGGGTTCCGTTTAAAAAATTGAAGGTGTCCTTTACATGAGCTTCAAATGACTTTTCAAGGTAAAACCAATGACACCATCTTATAGCCCTCTTAAAACCATACAACTTTTATTGAAAACATTTTTACCGAAACCACCATGGTTTCGAGATATTCGAGTGTGAAAATGTGACACCCTGTGTATCTTGAATCACTCGATAAAATTACGAGAAAACGAAAATGAAAAGAGCTTATTCCATTTACTGAGAGGATCGGGAAAAATAGACTATATCCGATGTACAGAGTGACAATCTAACGGAATCTTCCTTGCATCGCGTGTCATATCGACAAAAATCTTGCGCTCGCGTCACTTTGAATATTTTCAGTGCTTTGAGAGCGCACCGTACAATCGCGTGCCCCATTTCCATTCTCGTGAAACATCCGTAGGAACGAATCGGACGCTCGACGATTTCTCGGGTATTCCCTGCGGCTGTTTCAGGTGACGAGGTGATCGCGTGGAACGGGAGGTCCCTGCAGGGCAAAAGCTTCCGGGAAGTTTACGACATCATCACCGAGTCGAGACTGGAGCCGCAAATCGAGCTCGTAGTTGAGAGAAAATTGTCCACGACGACGACAGGCATGACGCCTGCCGGACCGGGCCCGTCGACGCCCATGGCGTCCAGGCGAATTGTCGCTCAGAGCCAATGGCGACAGAAACACGAGACCATCCCTGGATCACAGCCACATCACAAAGGTGACTATGCGCTCGGCACGTCTCGTTTTCCGATTCTTCATTTTGCTTCTGTGTCAAATATGTCGTGAATATAGATTATTTCATCAGCTGTTACTTTTAAAACTTGAGATTTTCCTTGCGTATGATTTTAACATATATATATATATATATATATATATATATATATATATGTGTGTGTGTGTATGTTAAAATCATATGCATATCATCTCATTGATTTAAAGTCTCTTTCTCCTACAATAGCCGTGCAATAGGCTGACGGGTGTCACACGTTACTTAAATAAACATTGCGAGAAGTAAATCTTATGAATATAATTGTAGAAAGAGATGATGAGGTAGACTGTGTTTAGATCTTATATATAGAGTATGTAAATTTAAATGTAGAATATATGCACAAGGAGCTATAGAAAAATATGTTAGGAAAATACGTTGCTGTAAGCTAAATATGATTAGGGAGTCAAAAATATTCCTGGCATTCATCTCTATAAATTCTTTCGGATAGATCAATGCGTTTTGTGTTTTTTAATCTAGGAATTTTTCCTTTTAACATTTTAAAAATACGCATATATATTCATATACAGAATATATAAATGTTAAGAAAGATTGCAAGCATATATTATGCCGGGAATAAAGTAGTACGCGTAATATCTGCGACGACTTAATTGGACAGATCATGAAAGGGCTGAGAATTAATTATTCCGACTCGAATGGAATATTTATCGATATCAATTAAATCCCATTAGCCGTATTCTTTGAAGTGACGCGAAATTATGAGGCGCATACTCTGTGTTCCTCGCATAAGTATACATTAAGCATTATTATTAGCATTATATTATTGGAACCGACGCTATTGTCACACACGGATTGTATGATTTTTCGCATTCCAGGTCTTAAGAAATGTATTCTATGGGGTAGGCTTCACAGACAAGGCTCTGTCTTTAAACTATTTCAATTGATCTCGGTGTTTGTTTTTTCCTGTATCGTTGACCCCCCCCCCCCCCTCGTAGCTCCGATTGTGGTCTGTTTAATGGGATTTTTTTTCTAAATCTCAATAAACGGAACCGGAGAGAGAATTACATTATTATTACGCTACAAACCGTAATCGATAAATCGCATGGCGGAGCAACGAAAGTTAATCTATCACTTATTCTGCCTTGAGCATATACCGTCGATGTTTAACGTAGACGTAGATCGTAATGCTAATGCACCCCTTCCCCTCGTTAAAGAGCACCGTTGTATAGGTATAGTCTTATGGGAGCAACAACTATATATTATGTACACATAAATATATATATATATATGCAAAATATAAAACCGCCAATACCCCATCGTACTTCTTCTCTACTTGTAACGAATATGAATATTTCCGTACGATCCTTACGAATAAGTATAACTTGCTGTAATTCATCGCTATGTCTATTATCAATGTGTATCGATCTAACATTATTACAACAGCTCTCTCCTCTCTTTCATTTTCTTAACTCGTTGTCACGGATTTCCGTGATCATGAGAACCTGTGCATGCGGATTGCACTTCTTTAAAGGACGTGGGTGTGTTTCCAGAACTGTTCGGAAATAGTTTATCGATTTTGTAATATCCCCCTTCCCTTGGGGGTTCGATGACGCCGCAAGAAATAGAGAACTTGATTTTCGTGACTATAATTTCACTAAAGTATCTACAATCGGCAGAAATTTCTAAGATAGACGTCCAAACGGACGATCTAATCCTTCAAAGGTATCTCGAGTATCTTACGTTTCGATTTTTTTTTCTGTGTTGTTCGAGAGTTTATTTATTTAATACGCAAGAGATGAACATTTATTTCCGTTCGCTCGAATCATCCCCCCGATTTTTTTTCTCTTCTTTACTTATGTATTCATTCGTTTATATCGTTTTTAATTTTGCCTTTGTTGTCGTTTCCTCCCCCTCCGAGCACACCCTTCCCCCTTCGTGAATCGCTCCAAGATCGCAGGTACGGAAACGTTATATCCTAGTCGACACCGCACGATCACTTGCAGAGTTGTACGACGCGAGGCGTGAGAAACCCTCGGTTTTAGTGACGTCACCCGGCTCGCCGGACCTGCATGCCCAAGGACGCGGTCGACACTCCCGACATCCAACCGGAAATGCGAACGTGGGCGGCAGCATTCAAGTGAAGCTGGGTTTCGATCCCATGGGACTTCAACTGATCGTCACGATAATTTGTGCCGCGGGACTCACGCCCAAGAGCAACGGCCAACCGAGGAACCCTTACGCCAAAATCTTTCTGCTTCCCGACAAGAGGTGAGTTAACTGCAAATGCAGGCCAATTGTTTCGATCAATTGGGAATTTTTAATCGGGATTCTGAACCGAGTTCGCACGCTCATTATTAAATTATCGCAAAGCTGCAGGTCAAGACGAAACAAAACAAACTGATGAACTTTTGATGAACCTTCGGTTCTCCGTTTCGCTAAAAATTCCAACTTAATTGTCGAACAATTATTCGATCGATGGTTCTTAAAACTATATATTTATGTGTGGGTCTTGAAATGTTGCAGCGAGAAATCGAAACGGCGTACAAAGACCGTGGCGAATACAAACGATCCAAGGTGGAATCAGACCTTCTTTTATAACGGAGTCAGACGTTCGGAATTGAGGAAAAGGGCATTGGAGATTACGGTCTGGGACTACGCGAGGTACGAGGCGAACGATTTTCTCGGCGAGGTTGTCCTGGAATTGGCAGTATGTCTCTTAGACGAGGAACCAGAATGGCATTCTCTGACCGCTCACGGAGAACACCGGCACGTCAGGTATGAATCGCGCTCGCGGATGCTGGTAGTTCCGAGATGCCAATACTAAAAGCGATCAAATAAATACCTCGCATCGATACGAATCTCCCGCGGGATGTTCGACAATGTTCTCGTCTCTCTGCTTACGATGCGACATTATCTCGCGAGTCCCAGAAATTTGCATGCTAAAACTCGCGAATATCGAAAATGGATCATGAAATCCTCCGACAGTTTTATTTCTAAAGGGACTCCGAGTAAATTTAATGTCGCGAGGGGGGACTTTCGTTATCGAGAGAGCGTTAATATTATATTTTTCTGCACTCTACAGACATTACCAAGATTCTGATGACGTGCCGGATCATCATCTCAGTCCACCGTCGACCACTTCGAGATTAAGTGATTCCGACACCTCGGAGTGCGATATTACGGACTGCGACGTGTCGAGGGAACAAAGAAGAACGGCTGACGGTGCCAGCATAAGTAGTATCGGCAGTTCCTCTAGGTAATATCATCTCTTGAGAATTTTTCTGTAGTACATAACATATAAATCTCAGTTTGGCGAAAGAGTATTATATCAAGTCGACGAAAATGGTCAACTTTAGATTTTGCGTTCAACACTCTGTAAATTTGTCGCGTGTCTAAACCAGAAATTTTTTTAATAGAAAACACAGGATTGCGTTAGATTGATTAATAATATCTTTACAATTGTGTCGAAAATTGATTAGTTATTAATTGTTTAAGTATGCACTGCGGTCAATATACCTGACCGGTGGGAATTGTGTTAATCTGACAGCGTTACTGTCTCCCCCCTCCCACGACTTAAGATCCTGTTTACAAATCTCATAACCATTCTATGTAGCTGTTGTAACAATCATTCTCGTGTTGCTTGCACGTCGCGATCTTTATCATCGATAATAGAGGAGGCAGATTTGGCCTGAAAAAGTTTCTGCGCGAGGATTTCTTCCGTTATTATTCCGTTTTCTCCCAATAAAACGAGGCTAAGTTGTATAATTAAATAATTGTTGGAATTTGTACAAAGGGATATTTGTATAAAAATGGATTTTTTGATGTTTTTTTTTTACTAGATCGCATTTTGAACTATTTTTATCAATCGTTTGTCGTCAAGTTATTATATAATTAACAAATAATTACATCGCAAAGTTATATCACAGTTCTTGTAATGATATGAAAGTAGTTGTGATCGTACAAGGTTCAACTTTTTTCCTTTTTTATACGATTAATAAGCAAGCCAAGTGGAAGAGAGAGAGAAACAAGTATAATATACTATATAATATAAATTATTACGAACAAAAAAAAAAGATGAGAGTCGAACAAGGAAGGGGTAATCGAAAGAAAGAGAGAGGGCAAAAGCCAAGTTATAAAACTGGGCAACAAGCCAATTGACATAGCAGTTGGCCCGCGACCATCGTCAGCTCCGGAAGTCAGCCTTAAAACTCGTATCCATATTAATATTCCAACGGTGATGTCCGATCGTTATTTGTGAGTACAAAGTGTGGTTTTCACCAAAGCTTTCGAGTCTTCGTTCTCTTATCAAACGGAAGAAATAATACATATCGAAATGAAATAAGGTAGAAAATTACTCAACAATAAAATGTTAAGCATCTGTGATAATGGAATTATTTTCAAAATTGCATGGATATTAAATTATTTCAAAGACAAGAGATAGATATTGTTTTGCGATGAATTATTTATTTGCTGTAAACGCAAAACTTGCACATATTGCATATCAATGCAAGTATTCACCATTAATAATGACAAAACTTTCTTAATAACGACATTAAAAACTGCTTAATAACGACATTTATTAAATGTACTTGCGACATTTATAATTATTGAATATTTGGCAAATTAAATTTTTCAAAATTTACATCTCCCAAACGTTTAGATTATTTTAAAGAGTGACTTGATTATAAATTTTTTCGTTGATGATACGCGAAAAATCGAGTCAATGGTAGATCGAATAAAAACGTGTGCTATCCTCGATAGGCTTGGCAGGTGGAGTGGCAGAGATGGGGATAAGCCGAGATACTATCCGGCATCGCTCTGCACTTCTTTTTATACCGAACAGCTTCGATCTGCAAAGTGAGCGCTTCTATCCCTAAGCGCGCATCAGCCTCTGTAAAAGCTGTCCCGAGTAATTGAAACATTCCGGTGTTCTCCTGAGAGAACGGCGGACATCCTGCGCATTTTTAACAACCTTCAGTACCGTCTAATGAGATTATTCGAAAGGGTTTCGCCGGTTACATTAATAATTCTTTCGTCAAGTCGATAATACGATATGGACGATGCAATTCGATGAAATATTATTATTAAGAATTCTACCCAAGAGCACCCACACACAAATTATTATATTTAATGACAAAGTAGAAAAGTAGCCTTTTTAATAGGCGGATGTATGTAAAAAAATTGTTTGCAAAAAAAATTTACACACATTCGTTAATTGTATATATCTTACTTGATGTTTTCTATCGTGTTGTTATGATGCTATAAATATTGAGTAAGATATTGAGTAGAGAAAAAGCGCTCCAAAACCGAAATAGATCTCCTAAACTCTAATATAATTCATTAATTAAATGAAATACTTTATCAGAATTGATATGAATTTTATTTGCTTATAATTTATTCATTTGAAGTATATATAATGCATTTATAACTTGTTTATATGCTGAATTAGCTTGTTTCGAATTCTTTAAAAGTTCAAAGGTTTTTATTTCTGTAATTTTCTTTTCACCATTGCATTGTATAATCTAAATAATAACAAGTATATATATTTTTTATAGCTATTTTCATTATGTTTTCCTACATTTTTAAAGGTTTCTAAATCTGCTTTTATATTCTGAATCTCTGTTTTTATATATTAATTTTATCTCTGTTTTATTTTTATCTTTATCTATTTGCACAGAGGATACGGTTAAAAAATTAAATTAGAATTTTCTGACATATCCTGTAGCTTATATATCGACATAATTAACATTTGCTTCGAAATGTCAATTTAAAAAGTATGAGTAATGTAAATTGACTAATTTAATTACATTTAAAAGATTTTAATTTAAAAAAATAAAACGTACGTATATAATCTTAAAAATATTAATTTTTATAAATATTAGTTTTTATAAATATTAGTTTTTATAAATAGAATAATTACGTGGTAACATAATTTATCTGAAATTCAATAACTCTTTTTCAGTTAAATAATTGAATCCAATATTTTTTGCATATTTTTATCGTATTTCTATAATTTTTAGTGAATATATCAAAATTAATTTCTCACACTTTAATTTTTGTCCACTTTACAAAAGAATCATTTATATTCAAAAATTTTAAATATATAATATTATCAAAACTGATAAAGAATAGTCTCCAATAAATATCTGCGGATATAAATTCTTATTTTGAATTTTTAACTAGAAGTTAAAGCCTGAAAAATGTTGGTTTTGGCAACTTTCTTCAGCATATATATATACATGTACATAGAAATCTATATCAAGGCACAACATTTTTTTGAATAGATAAATGTGTATGAAATATGTGTGTGAAATATTTCAAATATTAAAGTATAATAAGGCGAGATAAGAAACATTATAGATACAATGATGCGTTGGCCGCGGCCGCGCCCGCTCGTTGATTTTAATTTTAATCGTGTGCTTTGTTATTTATTTTTTAGGTTTCATAATATGCCGTCAAATTATAAGCGGTACGGCCATTACAATTTATATTTTCTCCTCCTTCATCACGCAGTCACACGTCTTGCATCCTCACCTCGTTAGGTTACAATGTCGCGCGTAGATCAGTCGATTAGTCATGACAAGAAAGAGAATTCGCAAAATAATAGAGACAAGACTACGGGACAACGCGAACTGACGCAATCACGTAACTAACTCAATCTGAGAACGGATAACAAGAATAACGAGAAATTCGATAGGGATATATTTTTAAGGACTGATAAAAGGGGGGTTGGGGGGAGCAGGAAAAGTGTTTTCGGGCAAAGAAAGAAACAGTGACTATGATACAGACGTCATTGGTAACAAAAAAAGAAACATTATTATCATTGGCATTCAACTTTCTATTCAATTTTCCTGTTGCAATATTTTGCGCATGACATGAATATCACAAATGTATAAAAATGTACAGTGTTTCGCAAAATTCTCGGGGCAATTTGTCTTGGTTCTTTGCTAAGGAGGAAACGCGCGGAGAAAGAATATTAATTAAATTAGCGAATCGCCATTCATGTAGGCACTTTAGACGTCATACTGTCATTGCTTCTTGCATATTATGTACGTTAAAAATCTTAGATGCGACGGGACATGGCTTTTAGAATGCTTAGTGCATCGCGACGCATCGGCCGGGGTGGATTGAATTTTTCTCTCTCTTTGCGAGCTTTGATGATGACTGCAATTATACGTCGGGCGCTGTCCAATATTCGAGACTGTCTTGCACGGACACTTTGCTTTTCGTTGCCAGAAACCAGTGAAAATTCCATCTCGGATTTTCTATCAACACACATTTAGCACGATCGATCATTGACGTGCAATAGTCGACTACTTACGCAGTCTTGGCACCCATCGAACGCACTTACACGGCATATTCTCAGTTTTACGGCGACTCGCGATTTCTTCTTTTTATGGCGCGACTTTGATTTTTGGCAACGAAAAGCGCCTCGCAATCGAGAACGCTGTGTAAACGCCGAGGAGACTTGACTGCATTGCCGAATAACTTGGAGCCGCTTCTCGCGCCAAATTAGAAGATATGCATCTCTCGCAATTTGCGATTTAAGAAATCGAGCTCACGCTAGAATATTATTATATATATATATATATATCTATACGCCGAATATGTAAATAATGCGTACGAATATTTTTCAGAGACAAGTCTCACTGAATTTTTACCTTGATCTCGTTTCTTACGTTCCTCGGTGCTACGTAGTTTGTTTTCATTTTTATAGCGTTCCAAACATACCTTCCCTTCCGCTTCTCTTACCATCCTGGCCGCATGCATTTTGAGATTAGCGCGAGACTCACAGCACTCGCCTCATTTAACCTATAAGGCACGCAATATTCACTGATTGATAAAAAAAAATGAACGCATGCTGGAGCAGCCACTATTCTAGCCCGCCACCGGAGAGAGAGCTCTGCGTCGACGGCGAGCATCGGAGTCGAAGGGACATGTCGCCTCAAGGACGCAAAAGGGCGGCCCTCATGATTTCTCGTGACCAACCGGCTACCATCGCGTCCGGTTATCAGACGTATCGTAAGGTAAGACGTTTTCTGTTTTTAATCCGAGCGAAGGAGAAATCGATCGATGAATTATGTATGGAGGAAAAAATATACACTCGCGAGAGATATTCGCGAAGGATATTCGGATCGACGCGTCAAGGTCTATCGATATCTCGTGCGTAGAATTAAATAATGTCCATCGATAATATTGTTGCGTCATTAAATGCGTCAATCTTCAGGACGACATCCATCGGGGAATGATGGGTCATAGGTCGCACAGCGCAGCGCCTATGGACTCTCCGAGCGTCAGGTACCGAGGAAGATCTCAGAGTCCCACCGGTCATCGTTCCTTGTCTCCGCCTGAGCACAGATCCATTCCCTATTCGCACGGATACGTTCACACGACGAGGTATGAGATATGTCATTGGAAACTTTTCGATTCGTTCATCGCGAGGATGAGACTTGCAAGAGCAGAACTGACGATACGGGTTTACCGCCGCGCTTATTTAGATTCGGCTCGAGATCGGCAACTGCTACTCCCACTGGATCGCCAAAGAAACGTCAGCTACCTCAAATCCCGGCAGCCCTGAAGGAAAGGGTCACGCAAGATCTGGAAGAACGGGCAAGGTTCATGAGACACCGTAACAGGCAGTCGATATACAGAAGCACAGGCATGGGAGGTAAGCCTCGCTTCACTTTTCTGTTGGTGCTTGAAATGATAAATAATCTGTCTTACATAATACTTGCTATTTCGCACTCTCGACTGAGAAAGAATAGAAATAGATCTGGTCTAAAATAATAAATATACAACATGTCTTAAAATTAAACAATCATGCTTGTATATTTTATGATTAGAAACAAGGAGAAAATTCAATATTAATCTGAAGATGTTTTATTAGAAAAAATTACAAGAATAGAATATTAAGAAAAAATTACAAGATAAGAATATTAAACATGAAGATTATAGCGAATTCATTTATTGATAACGAGCAAGAATAAAATTTATTTAATCTGTTTATTATTTTTATTATATTCTTTTTTAATTATTTCAAATTTTGTCTGCAGAAAACTGTGACAGAGCAAAAGTGTATTGTATAAGAGACAAAAATGAATTGAGAAAGTTAATTTAACATTTTACTAACAATGAATTACAGCAACGTTGACATAACATTTATAGAGTATTAAATTCAATATTTCAATAATGTCAAGTTTGTATTAGAAACAAAGGCATTTTAAAATGGAAAATTAAGCGAACGTATTCTTTTTTAACATAATAAAATGTTTTCGGGCCAATGTTTACGTTTTTTTTTATTTTTACTCATGAAACATATCAATAAAGTTTCGTCGTTCATTTTAATTTTGTATATTTTACATGTAACCGTAATTTTTTCTTTTCATACACGGTTTTTTAAATTACTGTATCTTAAATAATATTGATTATAATCTATTTCTAGGCTGGGAAAGGCATTACAGTGGCCTTTCAGACTCGGATCTTCCCTCAATCGGACACGATCCATTAACGTTGTCGCACAGTCACGCTTATAGGATGCACAGACCCAGAAAGGGACATTTGAGCCCCGAAAAAGATGTGCTCGGTGATCTCGGTGATTCTGATATGGAGAGCATAGCCTCGGTAACGAGCAGTGCCTTTAGTACGCAATCGGAACGACCACGTGGATCGAGAGCACTAATGTGAGTATAGTTTCGTAATCATTACGCTATCTTATCGTACGGACGACCTCGCGTTGCAACGTCAATGTGCAAAGCAACGCTGATTCCATAGTCAAGAGAGTACCCCGTTAGGGAGAGATCGAACATCGAGTGTGCAGTCTATTGTTAAATACAACATCACGATGTATCGATGTATTGTAGATCTCAACTTTTGTTCTCCACACACGAGATGAGGATCGATCGACGCGAAATAGCACACTCACCAGCTCGATCTCTCAAACCAAGGATAATCCCTGGATTAAATGGACATTGTCGACTAAATGGACATCCCGTAGTCGCACTTTTTCACATCCTGCTTGCGTGTTAACGTCCCAATGTTCTTTCCCCGCCTTTTCTACGAAGCGATTATAGATTGCACTTCCTATGCACTTTGTGTCAATGTCCATTTAATAAATGTGCCCCATTCTAAGAAAGCAGGGATATCATAAGTGCGTGGCGTTGGTCGAACGGTTAGGGCCTTAGTTGTGCCTCATCTGACACGTTATAGAAACTAAAGAAAGCACATCGATCGCCGCGTGTCTCTTCTGAAATGCCGACCCGTTGCTCTCGGCAGAGTCGAGTTCTGAGATTTCATGATACGATATACGAGTTCGATCGATCGCGAACGCGCGGTAGACGCTAAAGAGGAAAAGAAAAATTTAAAAAAGATTAAAATTAAAAAAAAAAAAAAAAGCGGAATGGGCTCACCCTTTGGTTTATATGTTTCCGCAAGAGCGTTAAATCTCTCTATATGAAAAACATTATTTGCAGACCGACAGTTAAAAACGTATTAATACCCGGTGTCATATCTCCCATGCCCCCGCCCCCTAGGCGCAATAGGCGCAGGCACAAACTTAGGGTACCCTGCAGCGAATGCCATTGTCCGAGCAACAGCAATCCCGCCAAACAGCCCAAAAACAACCCCGGCAAATGTTCCCTGCTCCCGCGTCCCCTCGTACGGAGCAAGTCCGCAGTGGTGCGCTCGTTGTACAAAAAGATGCGTACGCCCTTCACGAGATCGCAGACCGTCGACGAGAACATGCTGAGATATTACAGCCCCGAGACCAGCGAGTACAGCGTTTCCGAGGGGTACATACTCAGGCCAAAGAGACTTAGCGTAGCCGCTAAGAATCGTATACCGGAGATATACGTCGAGGACTGCCTTCGAGTCGACTTTAACGATCGTTTCGTGGAGAAGTTTCGCTCCGAGTACTTGTCGCGACACGCGGGTAGCCGCGACATGTTGTCGTTGGGTAAAGAGTGCGCGACAACGACCACGACAACGACAACGACGACGACAACGACGACGACGACGATGACGACGACGATTGTCTCGGGAGGTCCGATCGATGATCATCTCGATCATCTCGATATTAGGAACGTAGACGCTAGTCTGCATCCGCGTAGGTCTCTCTTAACCGCTAAGGCTAGGAGCTTCGATTACGACGTGATGCACGATACATACGGTGATGATCGTTTCGGTATTAGGCCAGGATCCGTCGGTCTGCTATCGCGCCGGGCCAAGAGTTTCGAGTACGAGAGCATTTCGAGCAACATATTCAGCGACGACAGTCTCAGGACCGCCCGGAGAAAGCTCAAGCGGAATCTCTCTCTCAGCGACGCCGGCTACGGCGACAAGATACCGGCGCTGGGCGATCAGAGCAAGTCCTACTACGATTCTAACGGCGACGACAAAGTGCCTAGAGATCTCGCGAGCAAGGAAACGAATTACGATTTTCTTTCCCAAGATCATAAGCCGTTTTACGGATACGACTCCGAGCTTAGCTGCGGCGAGACGGAAATTTACGTCCCGAGCTTCGACAAGCGAGGCATCGATGATTATCAATCCACGTATTTAGCGGACAGCGAGCGATCCAACCTGAGGAATATCTTGGACAAGGACGATACCGGCAAGAGAAAATACATGGACGAGAGTTATTTGAATCACGAATCTTCGTACATCAGAGATTTATCCTCGGAGAAGAAGATGAAGAATGTAGAGAGTGACCTTTGTAACACGGTCGGCGATCACGCCTACTGCAACATCGAAGAGGCTCGATCGTCTGGCAAAAATTACGATCGCGACATTCTCCAGAAGATCCATAGTACCTCGAACGTAGACGAGGAGTGGATGTCGCAAGATGCCAAAAGTATCTTGCGACCTCGCGGAGAAACTGGCCGTTCCTATCAAAGAGATAAATATAAAGATTACGAGAACTGGGACGCCGATTACGACGAAGGGTTCATAGAGCGAGAGAAAGTCGACGATTATGAGCAAAAGCGATTTGATTATCTGAACGAGAGTATCCGAGACTTAAGGATCGCTGGATCGATGTACGACGACGAGTATTTTCAGCGAAAACGCGATTACGCACAGTCGGACGATGACGGCAGGAAGCTTACGTCGACGAGCGATTACATCAGTTATCGTCCCCTCGACGAATACGAGTCTTCCTCGTCTACCGTGCCGCGAAGACGAAGACGAAGAAGCAGAAGAGGCAGCAGAGAGGGTGACTACGAAAGCCCGCGTGCCAGAGACGTTCAATCGAGAGGGTCGACGGACAACAGGAGGCTGATGATCCAACGAACCGAATCCACGCCGACTCTACACTCGGACGAGGACCTAAGCTCGATTGCGGATCGCACCAGACGCATGTACCGCCGCAAGCGAAACAGCAGCTGTCCAGAGAGCAGAGATCTGCGAATATACGGCACGCGAAGAGACGACGAAAGGACGTCGAGTTTCGTGCTGGACTCCGACGAGGAGTTTGGTTCCATGGAGACGGTCGTCGGCGCCGATCATTTCCGTCGGATCGCTTCCTCGGGCTTCGTGACGGAGACTAGAGCGAACGGGAAATCGGGCTTCCTCGACGCGGAACAAGATCGTGATAGCTACTTGTTAGACGCAAGATACGATTACGAAAATCGCTATCAGGATAATCGCAGTTATGCGGAGATGAGTCGCGAGCTAGTTAGGTCAGGGTCGCAGCGTTCCTCGGGTCGCGAGGCCCGATATGCGTCGTCGCGCGCTAGGCGTAAGAGTAGTTGCCCCGAGTGTCGTGAGCTGTCCTCCTCGGAGTTAGGTAGGTCGGGATCGCTGTCGCGAAAGGTCGACGACACTCGGCGGTCATCGATCGAATCGAAGCATAGATATCGTAGGCGAAACAGCAGCTGTCCAGAGGCTAGGGATCTCGAACTGTTCGACAAGAGGCAACGGCAGCAGCAGCAGCAGCAACCGCAGCACCACCAGCAACAGCTCACGCAGCGTCACCAGCAGCAGCAGCAGCAGAGGCGGCCGAGCCAGCAGCAGCAGCAGCACCCGCATCAGCAACCGCAGGGAAGTAGTAAGAGGAACGTGGCGATCAGCGACACCCTCGAGTACTACGAGTACTCGATGGAGAGCGAGAGCCAGTGCAGCGAGAACTGCGGATTTGGCCCGTGCGATCCGCGTAGGCCCCGTAACCGAGCACCCCGCCCTGGTAACGCTAATTCGAGTCTCTTTGATTCCCAAACCGCTACCTCCGACACTGCTAAAAACTACCACCCACGGGTCGACGATCATCATCACCACCAACACCCACAAAACACGAAAACGTCGCCGCACGTCCACGTGACGTACCTGCCGCCGCGGCCACCGGCGTCCTCCACCCGGCGACGATCCTTCCGAAAAAAATCTGTCTACGACGTCGACGTCGACACCGCCGCCGATCGTCGCGACGATGACGACTCACGGACTCGTCGTTCCTCGTCCATGCCCGAAAGCAGCGAGTACAGCGGCCAATCGAGCTCGTACGAGAAGACGTCCAGACACCAGGTCACCGACAACGGGCACGACGGCCACGACAAGAGAAGCCAGTTCACTAGGAGTCTCAGTAACGCCGATGTGCCCCAAGACGAGAAAGGTGAGCGAAGATGCTTAATCAGGTGGATTATAAAAAGGGTTCCATTTTTTTTTACGCGGATGGAAGAGATAAGATCGATAAAGTTGCTTCGATATTTTTAATTTTTGCTCTTTCTTCTTGTAGATATTAAAAAAGCGCGTCTTAATTATTTTTTTTTACTAGCGCGAATAAATATCCGTAGCATGTTTATGTGCTTTTGATAAGATCGAAAATTGAATGAATTAATTATTGAATCGATTCTCGAATATTACAACTTTGTTTTTTTTTTTTTATATTATTATATATTTTGTATATCTTTCGCTGTTGTATATTTTAGGCCTTTTTAACGAAAATTCTGTTCGATACCTAGCTTCGGTCTTTCACTGTGATGCGTACTAATTCTTCGTAAGAATGGCATTGATTTACCGTCATGATGCAGTGACGTATAGCCGAAAAAGTAAGAGCTTTGCGGAGTAGTAACATAAATTTTCGTCGAGATTTGCAGTCACGAACTCGTTACACTCGGATTTAGTCGGGTAGTTAGAGAATTGCGGACATACGTCCATGCAAACGTTTTATGAAAGTTTTCTCTGAGTTCGCAAAGTCACGAACGTCTTCCCCCGTCTGTCGTTCAACAATAATAAAGATTGAACACGCATTGCTTTTATACGTTTCATATCCCGCTAAAATTTTCTAATATAATTTATCCAAATTAATTGTGTGTAGATTTATGTTCGTATTGTTCCACAACTTTATACCTTTGCTCTTTTATCTTCGAAGTTCTGACGCGATGCAAATAAGAAACAAAAGAGGAAAAAGCATTTCGAGAGAAAAACAAATCATTATACCTGAAGCTCGGATCGCGCTGATCTGATTCTAGTACCCACACAAATACGTTTATCGTTTCGCAGACACGGGTAGTTTTAGTGACACGGCAATCGCATTGAACGTCGAAGATGCTTCGAAGCGAGGCCGTAAAAGCTCGCCAGGAAGCAAGAGCGGAAGCGGCAGTAGCAGCGGAAGCGCGGTGCAGTATCAAACGGGTCTGGGCAAAAAGAGCAACAGCACCAGCCAATTATCCGCGACAGGTAACACATTGTCACATTGGCTACTCCTAGTTAAGTTTACGTTTAGAATCTCTACGTGTTACGTAGTCCATTCTTTCGTAAAGATCGATCGTTGACGCGAACATAATGACATTTCCCTCCCTCGGTGCGCGATGTTAGAAGCGATTTGATTAATGTATGGATACTATCTCTTACGCGACATTAGACAGTTTTCTATTTTTCTGACATTTATATATCTTCTCTCTTTAGTGAAAAAAAAAAAGGAAATCTTCATTTTCTTCAGAACATCGATATTTCGTATTTATTAGGATAGCGTAGTCTAGTATCGTTAGTGTGTAGATTATAACGGTGTGCTCTCGCTACGTGCATAAATGAGGATGATGTAAATATATCATTGACATATCGGTATTTTTATGATACCGTGTATCTCGTGTAAGTAGAGTACAGATCAATATTTCTTGTCAAAAAATAAGCATCTTCTTCGTTTGACCAAATTTCTAAAAATGCATTGAAGTATTTTATTTTCTAATATTTCGTTGTGTTTAATATGTCAATATAACACATTGTTGTTTTCGTGTAAAAATTTTGCTAATTAATAATTAAAGGTCTCTAATATATATTTATTTATTTATATAAAATATTTAAAAAATTTTAGTTGAGTTAATATGAAACAAATTTTTTTTGTGGCAGCGAAGAGTGCTTTTAAATTCTGATATAAATAAAATAAATTTATTTATGCAGTTTTTAGTTTTTCCTTTTTTTTCGTTATTTTGTCTGAACTGAATATTCATACGTGGGAATAATATCGAAAAATAAAATATTTCGAAAACGAATATTTTTGGAAATTTTCATAGGAAAAATACTCATTTTTTGACAACAAATATGTGCGTATCAGTAACACGGTCTGTATTCTATCTGTATAGGATGTCCTATAAGCGTATTAGCAATGAAAATAGATTTAATATAACGCGCGCGGGAGCGATAGAATTTTTTAAATTATATATTTTTATAGCCAAAACACGAATGAAGAATAAGAATAAGAGAGATCAAGAATTATAGATAAAAATATTACTTGCCAAATAATTAGAATCAATGCAATTATTGAATATTGTATTTGTAAATGCTTGTGTTGATTAAATTCTCGAGCGATTATAATTGCGATACAATGCACTAATTGGTTATAATAATCGAACGGATAAAATATTCGCATTTATAGAATAATTAAGAAATTTAAAATGATATACAAGAAATATTCGACACATTTGTTCATTTCTTGCTTATCTTTTATATCTTATTCTTTCTATTTCACGAGTCTTGGTTCTTACAATCGGACACTCATTAATTCAATATAGTTTAACAGAAAATAATTTTTTGTTTAAATCCAAGAAAAAGAATAATTATTTCCCGTATGTTTTTTGATGCTATAAATATTGATTAAAATTTCGAACATTTCTTAATTGTTTAATTAAACTTGATCGTTTCTCAAATCGTTAAATATAAATTTAATATCGAACAATAAATTTAAAATTATTAAAAAAATTAATATAATGAAATTAATGCAATAAATATAAATATTTTTTAATAAAAATTAAGTTTTCTTTGCAAAACAGGGATTGTTCAGGTATAAATTTACTGATATTAATTTAATATCAAAATTGACTAGATTAAAATAGAATAAATAATTAATAGCAACTATTGTACGATGTAATAAATTTAATATAAGATATATAATTAATAAGATATATATTTAATATAAAAATTCTATTAATCTTTAAAACAGATATTTTTTGAAATTTAGAAAAGTTAATTTTTTTAAAGAGACTTATGTTTTGATAGTTCTAACAATATACAATTTTGAATGGAATAAAACTCTCCTAGCACATCACATACCGTAGCTACAACATGATAAATTATGTTAAAATAACTCTTTGAAAATAGCGTGTGCCAAGAAGAAAGTCATATTGACCATGAAAGAAACTACAAGCAATGATTATTCTTTTTCTTGAGATTTTTTGTTTTTTCTTCAGCCATGTTACCATAATTCAAACATCATCGACAGGCAACATTTGAACGATAACAAGAGCATACCGTACAAGCAAAAAACCCAGTAAGCGGGGCAGTATGTACATTCTAATTGTATTCTTGTTTTCTCCGCCATCCCTCCTCATCTTTATCCGCCTCTCTTCGACATGAAACACACTCACACTTTACTTCTACCAACCAACCACCTCTCGACGCTGGGGGACCATTCACGTCATCGATCTGCACCCACCTGCACGATTTTTCATCGCGGCGGCCCGATCGTGTGTTCATGGAACATTCCATACGGATCATCGATCGATTTGCTGGACCCGATCGTCACTGTTACGCAAAAAAAAAAAAAAAAACCACGAACCGATACTCTGTCACATTCACCATTGGAAAAAAAAAAACAATATGTACACATGTAAAATCGTTCTGCTAAACTGACATTACGCTCACGACAACTGTTGCTCTTGCTACCGCAACTTGCAACTTACATCGAACAACAACAACAAAAAACTATATCACGTCACGCAAAATCCATAACATACCACGTGCGTCTGTTGGTGGTACATGCGTTGGCGAGGAAGGACGGAAACGGCGGCTGGGTTTCGGGAAGAAGGGGAAGTCGTCCTTTACAGTTCACAGGAGCGAGGAGGTCCTGCCGGAGGATACGGTCGGTGGTAGGAGCGGACGGCAACCGAGCTCCGCGAGCAGCGATGGCGAGGGGAGCGGCGACGGGGACAGGTCCGACAGCTCTCTCTCACACATTAGAATCACATCTCTCTTCTTCATCATCTTTCGCTTTATTTTCCTCATAAGATTTTTGCGTTGCCGCGCGGGAGCGATCGACCAAGGGAGACCCTATCGCAGGACGCGCGTCTCTAAACTTTATCTCTGCCGATGACGATGAATCCTTGTGCGAAGATCCACACATGAGATGACGTTCGTCATCCATTTTTGATCGTTGAATATATATGAATGATACGATATCGATCGTAGAGATTATTATGCGCGGGCTAAAGTGCGACATTGTCAGAGGTCCTTTTTAATCAGATGCTTTGATTTCATTAATCGTAAATTGGATCAAGCCTTCGACGAAATATGTGAGTACACGTTGCAGATGGGAGGACTTGCGATAGAAAGAACAAGAGCTATCGTTCAATCGGACGACACCAAATGTTGTGACAGCGACAATGAAAACACACCACACATCACTCTTTTAGAGGCCGTGCTTTAGTCGGGGTCGATTGCGAGTCTCTCGTGATTGTTGTCGGAAAATACTCTCTTGCGACTAAAGCTCTCTGACTTTGCCAGCCGACGACGGATCTGCGAAAGATCCTCGTCGTATTGTCGACGAATGTTACTTCTTTAATTCTTTTTTTTCTAGACGAATCGAAGAAAGTATTTTGCGAATCTGCACGTTTCTACCAAATAGTCACGAGGTGATTCCTTCCTTCTCGTTTATTCTAGATCGTAGAGGCTATTTCTACGTAGTATTGATACGTTATTTCTAGAGAAACGTTCGCACGAGTTTCCTGGGCTGTAACATCATCGTGTCGTATCAAGTTATTTGTCTTTTTTTTTTAATTTTCTTTTTTTTTTTTTAGTGTCTTTCCCTCTCTGCGGAAATGCAGTTCGCGTACGCATCTCCGGTTGATTTATTACACTACATGCCTGTGTATGAAGCGCAGATCAGGAAACTCACATTCTAGTTGCACAAGTATAGTTGTGCTCTGGCGTCTTTTCGTGACTCTAGAATAGTGTCGGCACCGTGTGTCACGTTATAATCGTTCCGTTCCATACAGCTTTTCCAATCTAGATCGTCGCGTGGTCAATTTGAATTTCTCGATAGCATCGAGGTAAGTTGGCCACTCTCTTTGATACTGATTATTTTTTTTATTATTTCTTAGAAGCCGCTGTGTTGATACGTGCTTCAGGTGAGAGTGCGCTATTCACACGGCTTTTGAATTTTTCAATGTCCTGAATCGTTGCAGTGCTTTTACAAGCGTATATTTACGTTTTTTTTTCATATTCTTAAGATTATTGATTACGAATCCGTTGAATGTATAATCAGATATTTGCCGGACCAATCCTTACGTACACCGATTTGATAATTATAAATCTTTATTCTGCCTTCTTCCTTAGCTTTCTTTGTATAAATTGTGACTCCAAAGCTTTGAAGAATTTCGACATTAAATATGTATATATAATATCTGTGTATATAATTATCCGTGTACTTAAGGGATCCGGAGAATCTATATAAATTTATTTAGTGATAGATGTATATACATATTAAGCAATTTTTCTAGAGTTGCCGCTGATTAAATTTTACATGCAGCATTTTCGTACATATATATATAAAAAAAAACATACTAGTGATTTTCTGACGTAGTTACGATTAATTCTTGTCTCGATAGAGCCTGCGTGAGTTAATGAGATGCTACGCGCGAAGGAGGATTCCGCTTACTTATGCTTTTACGTCCGTCTATTAACAAGAATTATTGAAACAAATTCTCATTGGATCATCGATAATAATATTTCTCTTTTTCATGGAGAGTTATTTTATTACAAAATATGTTTTACATAATGCCAGAGAAAGTCCTGTTACGATTCATGCATACGCTATCGTTATTATTATTATTTGTGACGGACGTCAGAGAATTTAAATTTTGACATATATATATATAGGATATTGTAAGATTAAGCATATTTTTTGTTTTGGTGTCAAATGCAAATGTGTGCCCGCGCGATGTTATCTCGTTGCATTTCGCTCCAAATATCACGACACCTCGATATATTCTCACATTCCCTTTCCCTATTTTTCGGTTGTAAGATGTCAGATTCTCCAAAGGCCTCTCTGCATTTTATCGCTAATCGTTAGACCGACTCAAAGAAGCGATCAGGAAAAGATCGGGCGAGAATAAGCGATAGAGCAAGGGGAAAAAAAGAGAGCGTGAGGGCAAGTTTACGCGATAGAGAGAAAAAAAAGAGAGAGAGAGAGAGAGAGAGAGAAAGCAAAAAAGAAGGAGAGAGCGGAAGAAAGAGAGAGAAAGGTAGCTTAACTACAGATATACATATCTTACATGCTGAAATCCGTCCGTTCTGTTCTGCGATTCCGTCGCTGCACGTTGATTGATTAAAGATGTGCCCGTTCGGGCGCGCAACCCCCTTGGATACCTGGACGAGGCAGCTGCTGCGGCCCGTTTCCGGCGGCGTATTTAGTGAAAGACAATAGTTTAGCGGTATTTCTTGTTTGGTTTTACAACGCAGAGTGCGGCGGGATGATCATCGGCGGCGGCGCCGTGGCACGCGCCGGTTTAGCGAGCCGGAAGCGCAACAGCACGCCGAGCAGCATACAACGATCCGAGGAGATCATGCCGGCCTATCAGCGCTTTGACAGCAAACAGGCGGGATCGGCAGCCAGCGATACCGCCGGGAGTCTCAACTCGATCTCTAGTTCCGAAGGAAGCTCGTAAGTAGTGGACCCCACACCAATGTGGCGACCAATTCTGCAAGCGGAAGCGCGAGATTCCCGATACATACACCCACACTCTCTCTCTTTCTCTCTCTCTCTCTTTCTCTCTCTCTCTCTCTCTCTCTGTCTTTCTTTCTGTCTCCTCCTGTGCTTTTCTATCTCTCCTTTTCTATCATCTCTACTCTCTGCTATTCGCCCTTGTTTCTCTATATCAGATTTATCGGTTTCATATACATTCTGCTCCTTTATAGGAGCGTGCATCTTGACTAAACGAGATGAGCTATAAGTTGTGAAATTGTTGTGAAAAGAGAGAGTTGATTTATCGATACATTTATACCATATGAAACGAATAATGAAAGTTATAATAGGAGTAAAACAAATTTTGGTTTACGTATAGACTTTTATTTGTGTGTATGTATGTGTGTGCTTTATATAATTATTCTGTTGGATTAATCTTTTGTTGGAGTAATATTATGTTAACTTATTAAAATGGTTAAGAAAATTGATTTTGTATATGAGAAAAAATTATAATAAAGTTAAATACATGTCTCTTGTATGGTAAATTTGAGAGAGATTTAAATTATAAATAATGATATCGAGCGTTGAATATAATGCTTAACATCGATTTACACCTCAATGAATATCTGTTTTTGAATTTTATTTAATAAGCGAGCTTTCTCATTATTTCAAAGCACAGCTCGTAGCTCATTACCCCTCGTTTGCCAATGTACATATGAGCTTATTGTCTTCTCACATTCTTCAATCAATGGGACTTATTCTTTGTCGTCCTCAAAGGAACCGTTATTTAACAAATTTATTTAAATTCTCTTTAATTGTATTATCCGAATGAAATAATTGTTATAAGATTATTATAAAATAAATATTATTTTTATCGTGTGTGCATGAGACTTGATTAGAGACAAAGAATAATCCTGTTGACACATTTCTCTCCTTGTAAGATTTATCTACACACAGAAAATCGTAAACGCTTCAGATCAATTATTGCATCTTCAAACATGTGATTGAAGATGCGTCATCAATATGTATCCATGATTTGAATTGTGTAATTATATGGCCACATGTGTTTTTTCTCATGTATCCTTGATTTCTATCAATTTGTAATTCAGTTATGTATTTTTGTCATCTCTCTGCAATTTTTTTTTAAATCATATCCCATTTTTTTAACCATACCTTTTCGATTCTCATGAATATAGCACAGTAGTCACATGTAAAAATCAGAAAGTTGCGTATTTAAAAATGGTACATTATATAATCATGTTTTCTTCTGAAGCAAATATTTTTTTTTTTTTTTTTTTGCACATTTTATTTATCCCTTTTCTGTCTTATCACTTTAGTTTGAATTTATGATGTGACGAGTAACAATTTATGTAATCATAGTTGAATTTTACGAGGCGTAGTGTCTTCTTCTTACGTTAGTAGAGCAGTCTCTGTATTATACGGTTATTTTATGTCGGTTTTATAGTGCGAGGAAGAAGTATGCATTAAAGTATAGTCTTCGACGAATTGACTGAGTTTTATATATTTCGCTGTATCTTTTTTCCGTCTCCTTTTATTTTTTATTACTTTCTTTCGAAAATTCTTTCTCACTCCCGAGTTCTCCACAAAACAGAAGCGCCTATAAAAAATATTATCGTCCATTATCGGTGTTGTTGTCGTCTTGGCTTTAATTGCTTGATTGTGTGGCAAATGATTGTGTCGCATTACTTCGGAGCACCATTGCACATACACACACGCACTTTTGTATCTATTATATAAATATATGTCAATGTGATCGTTGTCGCGGAGTCTGTATTCTCTATCCATATGGTAAGCAGGACAACTGTGAATATATAACCCAGGAATATCACCCAGGAATGTCTTCGCGGAGGATCGTTTTCCCCCGATGATTTTCATATACTTCCGTACGATTCATTGTATTTTATATAGTAGGTACTATCTATTGTGAGATCGACATGCGTGTGTTCCTCGGAAAGCAGCCCCCTTCCTCCTGTCTTATGGATCTCTCTGTCTTACCGTTTTCATATAAAGTGTGTTTTGATATATCGTAGAATAGGTATTTCTAACAGCGGTGTATCTCTTAGAATATACTCGCCGGATCGAGAAAACGGTCGAGGATTGAAATAGATTAAACGTAGACAAGGTCTACGTGTCAATTAAAGAATGTAAATTGCATTTTGCAAACGTTTTGTCGGTTCGGCGCACGACGTTTACGAATAATAATTCTGACAATTTATTATCCTTGGCAGCGGTATTTTATGTCCTAATTATGGTCGCGAAATCTCGGAGAAAGTGATTGGCTACAAAATCGGGTGTGTTAATATTTTTATATTCGTACAACTTTGTCCGATACTTTAAATATATCATCATATTGAAATCATTATATAACAGCAATATATTCGTCATTGATTAACGATATAATTAAGTCCCATTACTGTGCAATTGAAAGAGATCTGCGTTCTTTTCTATGCAAAGGTGTCGTAAAAAAATCTGATCCTTAACAATAATTGTAGTTAATAGTTAGATTAATGACAGTTTTGTGCGAATATATAATCATGTATACACTCAATATATATGGATATGTCTATTATATAACAGAAATTGTATTGAAAAGTTCCGTTTAGCATTAATAACGCGAATCTTCTCAACGACACGTAGCATAGCCACGGCAAGTAAGTGTAAGTTTTAATATAACTTTTTTTATTAATTCTTCCATTTTTTCCCAAGGTTCTGGTGAAGCATGTTAAGTAGATAAATGTAGTTTGAAACAACAAAACAGTACTCAGTCGTGTATTAAAATCGTTAAAACATTGTAAGAATTATAATCGTACTTTTTTAATCGATTATCGCATTTATATAAGTTTTTCAAGATTGATTAATCATATCGAAGACTGATTACTGTTATTTAGAATTATTTAAAAAATCGTATTTATTCCTTTCTCTCTCTCTCTCTCTTTCTCTCTCTCTCTCTCTCTTTCTCTCTTTTCTGTCTGTATTTAGATTAAAATGCATGCACCAATAATCTGATATGTTTTTTAAACTTTTATACATATATATATGATCTTTTTCCATGTGTATATGATATATATTTACTACACTACACACACCAACACTACACTTTCAGCGTGAGTTCTTCTTTTCTCAAACTGAATGAGGTGTGTTCTCTCTCTTTTACAACTTTCGTCGAAGGCTTGCGAGAATTGTCCCTCGCTCCTGCGGAATAATTAATTTTTCGTTTATGATTTTTATATCCCTCACAATTTTCTCTTATCGCATCTCAGTTCTTTCGAGTGATAATCTGATTTTCAGCTTGCAGTTTTCGCGCTTTATTTCTTCATTACGGCGCGTTCTTAGATCTACGTTAGACCGATAAAGTTTATGTGCGAGCAAGAGAATGGAAAAAAGGACACAAAGTCATAAAGTATAGTTTCGATTTCCATTGCTCGTACAATAAGCACTGTGAGCACAGGTTTTTTCGTTCTTTCTCGGCGTTTTCTTTTATTTTCTTCAAGCGTCTTTTTCTTTTCTATCGAATCATACTTCATATACTTTCCGTAGTATTCCAAAATAAAGGAGTTGCGTATCTTTTTCTAAATACATAATTTTGAAAACCGCAGCTGGTCTCCGAGTCTGCGAATGGCAGGCGAAGGGCAGTTGAGAGACTTCATCGAAGACCTTGGACCGGGCCAAGTAGTCGGAAGGCAGGCCCTCGGTGCCCGTTGCCTCGGTGAGATTCAACTGTCGTTGAGCCACACAAAGGGTTACCTGGAGGTAGAGGTCATACGTGCCAAAGATCTTAAAGCGAAACAAGGCAGCAAAGTAACACCAGGTAAGCCGTTTCGAATAAATATTGCTTGGTGCACAAGCTGTGCTGATGCTAATGATCCTTATTCCAGCTCCTTACGTGAAGCTTTACCTGGTGAACGGTAAAAGATGTATAGAGAAAGCGAAAACCATGATGGCCAGAAAAACGTTAGATCCGTTCTATCAACAATTGTTGGCTTTCAAGGAGAACTGTCGGGGCTGTATATTACAGGTATGTCTTATTAATTTTTTACAGATTTAATTATCATTAACTTTCTTACAATGCACTTTTAAACGCGATTATAATTCGATCGTTTGATTATAATTCTATCGTATATCGTGATTTCAGGTGACGGTGTGGGGCGACTACGGTCGGATAGAAGGGAAAAAAGTGTTCATGGGTATTGCACAGATCGTATTGGATGAGCTGGACCTCAATCAGATGGTGTTCGGATGGTACAAGCTGTTTGACACCCAAGCCCTGGTCAGTGGAGCTCCATCCCTTGCTTTGTCCCGTCGATCTTCGGTCACGTCTCTCGATTCTTTTAAAATTTAAAAGAATGACTGTCCGAAGAACGTACCGAAATAATTCCCTTTACACATATATTTAACGAGGAGATGTTTGAGTTTCTTACAGTAGAGCAAAGTAGAGAAAAAAAGTAACACTAGATTGAGTTCGAGCTCCTATCTCGCGGTGCACCTATAGTCGCTTCCACCATTAATAGGATACCGAAATGCACGAGTCTCGATGTATATAAGGTAGTATCATATTTATCGATAAACAACTAGAGAGATGGAAAGTGAAAATCATTATAAACATTTTTAACATCTTAAATGACATATTCGGAAAATCATCGTTTGATGATGTTATGATGTAGTCAAATGTAAAGTATATATTTCAAGTCAAATAACTATTTAAGATTATCGTTATATTTACTGTATAAAAAAATCGAGGATAGCGTCATAGATAATTCTTTATCGTATCATAATATTATCATTCTATGGTTGATAACAAAAGTTTGAAAAGAATCTTAAACACGCTACGCGTATCTTCCTCGTTAGCTAAATTAAATGTTGAAGCCTAAGACTACTTAACGACTGACGTTTGGCTCTGAATACGGTAAAGTCAGTTTAAATGCAGTATACGAGAAATAAATTGTATTGTACGGATAATAGAAGGTTCCGCGGGGGAGGAAGACAGAAAGAGAAACAAAGGGAAGAATGAAATCGAAAGATAAACGCAAAAACGATGCGAGAAAAGAGTGTGAAAAAACGTACGGGAGAGGACATGTCTTTCTAGAAACACCACTAGTACATCACATATCATGTACGGCATATCAGACGAGCCACTAGTCTGTATGTAGGACTAGATGTAGACGTAGCCAGCCATGTGTTCCCGGAGCGCCAGATAGTTTTTAGGTACGCACTGAGAATCAAGGCATCGTTCGTAGATAGTTGGACAACGATTTAACGTGGGTACGAAACAGATAATGCGATTGCAATCTGTCGTGATGACAATTATAAATATTTTTGTATTCGCGATACATGTACTTTGATAATCGAATGTCGCCGGTTAAGCCTGTTTCATTAATTAATAACGTTTTTCAATTAGATTTTCTCAAGTACCCATGTGAAATCTTGATACACATTTGTTGTTGCCAATATCTTCTTTCCACTTCCATTACGTTTTGTAAAAATCTCCTCTTCTCTTTGAAAGTGCCTGTCTTATTATATACAAAAATAATTCTATTCGGCTTCGAAGTAGTCGACATGAGTCTAGATAACCGATAAACGATGCAAGATTACGTTATCATGCGCCCTCGATGTACTTCGTTGCCTCATATTTTTATCTATATCGATTGTTACTTTTCCAAACTTGTGTACACGAGATATGCCTCCGAAATTTGATTCGACGTGAGAAAGTTCGATTTTTTCATTAATCCTGGAACGCAATTTTTGAACTTGCATCTTACGACTGTATTTTTCCACACTTGTCCACGCATAGGAACTACTTTCATAAACTTCCTGATATATTGCTTGGTATATATCACGTATTAATTTCCAACTTTGCACAACATTGCATTTTTCTTAATGATTTTCCCATTGAATTTTTCCTTCTAAATACATAGCAAGTCGTGACAGTTTTTAATATATTTATAGTTTGAATCTTTGTCGATATAAAAATATGTGAAAAAAAAAATATATATATATATATATAAGCGAAGGTAAGTTTGTGCCGTATTCGGAGTCCTATATATCCTCTTGTATATTTTCTCGAGATATTCTTAAAACATTAATCAATCTTATATATCGAATGGCGTCGAAAAGATTGATTATATGAGTCAATTTTTTCGACACCATTTAATATGTAAAATTTATATATATGCAATGACAATATTTGAGAATGAATATTACACAGAATTTTTATCATTCGATATTTCATGTGATGAATGAGTGATAATGTACGTTTACAATAGTAATACGTTTGTTTATTTCATTTACAGTGAAAACCAACCAAATCAAGCAAGTTCGGGATAGATGTGAACTCAAATGTGGTGTACTAGATTAATAATATACGAACGATTACAATGACGCTCGTTTTCAGTGAATCTAAATGTGTGTATGCGTGCGTGTATATGTGTGCGTGGGTGTGTGTGTGTGTGGTTAAGTGGTTAAAGAGATTAATGAGTACTGTGAAAAATGAAGCGACGGTCCATGGACTTCATTTAATCAACATGCGAGAAAGATTAAAAATGTTGCGAGAGAGAATAAGTATATATAAATATAAATATATTACATATATGCTTATGGAAGACGTTTCCAAACTTTGTATATAATTTTAGGACAGTTCAAGTACTATAAATACCGATCTCCGAAATGGTCGGCTAAAAGACATTTTATCGTTGTCAAATTTTTAGTCAAAAATGTCACCGTCAGAAATAATATATATGTATATATATTATTTAATGTAAATAATATAATAACTATATAAAATTGTACGATATATGTGCGCGCAAGTTTGAATGAGTAATAATGTTTGCGTTGACATTTTTCGTTGTCGTTTATCGGTTTCCACAATATACGATCGTCACTATGATTTTTTTCGCGTTCTCTCTATAAACTCTGATCTGATTTAATCTTTTCCAAATTAATATAATTCGGATTAAGTGGAACGTACGATGATATAATTTTAATTGCGCAGTTTAATTTTTTAATTATACAGTTTGTTCTTTTTTCATAATAAAATTTGTTCGTCATCGTACACGCTATCACGTTACTCAGCTTTTTAAGCTTCGTTTAGTAACTCGTCCAAAATGAGATACCATTATAATGTAGAAAATGTGGAGCAAGTGTTATATAGTATCACATTTTTCAAATATGAAGCAGACTGATAAATCGATTCCTATGATATCTACGTTTGGCTGCTTTTGTGAAATTAGCAATTTCGAGGGAGCCGGGATGTAAAGATATATTCGAACAAATTATAAATTAGCTTCGTTTTTAAAGAATTTTATTTATAAATTTTATTTAAGTAAAAAGCAAGGTTTTCGAGACAAATTGAAAAAAAAAAAATACGAACCGCCCATATAACTCGTGTAAACGGGACGCGCGTCGCGGCAAAAATTCTTTTTCGTACTGATTTTGTACAAAAATAATAAGCAGTGACCACCACACTAAATATTTAAGAGGCTTTGTAAATCTCTGTAAGAAATGCGTAAACGCTTGCCATTAATTTTATATATCTTGATTATCGTGCTATGTGTTCGATCTTTCTTCGTGCGTATCTCAAACACTCGCGAAGATACACATCAGCGAGTATGCACATGCACGTGAAGTGTCTGCTGTGAATTAGTAAATAATTACATTCGTGCCCTGTAAAAGAGAATCAGAGAAAGAGAGAGAGAGAGAGAGAGAGAGAGAGAGAGAGAGAGAGAGAGAGAGAGAGAAGTTGAAAGATTGAGTGAGAAAGAAAATTATTTTCCGTCAAGTATTTAAGGTTTGGTGTGTGTAAACTTCGTGTACAAGACAAACGTTTCAACTTAATTATGAGAAGAAATTTTTGAAAGGACGAGAAAGAATATCTGTGCGAAGGAAAACGAGTTTTTAATATTTTTTTAAACAGCATATATTGCTATTTATGTCGATACTTACGTATACTTTCGCCAAATTGATATATTAGATGAATGCTAAATCGAAAAGTTCGCTGCGCGAATTTTCTTTGTGTGTCTCATTAATTTTTTTTAGCGAAGTAGGCTTTTTTTTCACGTGACATGTTTTGAAATTACGAATCATTGTAATTGTATGCGTGGAAGGTACTCCTTGGATATTACCGACAAAACTTTGATAAATGGAATGCAGTAGCTTCAAGCGGCTATATTACGTATATTTTTGTAAATCTCCGATTTACCGATAACAATTCGCTAGAGATATAGGTTCGAACGCAGAGAATTTCTATCCGGAATGATTCGCGTCACGTTTCTTGAGTGATTAAAGCCGTAAGATTAAGTGACAGCAATGTCAACATCTATCTTATCACGAGTCTTACAATAATTGACCAAGTATAATATCTTGCTTTACAACTTGAAACGATTGTCTCATTCACACTCGCATTTTCGCTCTTCGATACTATACGACTATTTCTACGCGATCCATAACGCGAATTTTTTGAATTAATACCGGATAATGTAAGCGCGTTTGATACGCGTGCTGAGATTATATCGAATTGCCATCGAAATACATGCATCCGTCGTTAAGCGAGCTATAACGTAAGACTTAGCTTAGAGTTTGAGAAGAACGAGATAACGAAGTATCATTGATTTACAGACGAATCATATAGATACGTCATCGATAATCCGAATGTTCATGAATATAAATTCTAGGTAACGTAACTTTTCTCGTAAATCGGCAGACCGATCGAGACTTTTAGGGAACGAGGGAATTGTATAGAGAAGGGTGGTATCTTATCATATCTATAACATGCTTAAATTAGAGACGTACGGCAAGAGAAAGAAGCTTTTTTACTCGTGAGAAAACAAAGACAAAAAGTAGGGTTCTAATCCGAAGAGATGTATATGTAAAGTATTGTGAAAAAAAAAAATAATATATTACTATAAGCTCATTTCTAAGTACATATTTTGCAAATGCACGGATTTATCAAGATTGTGGGACAATGATGACGTAATACACAAATATAATTCTGTAATAGTTAATTGATAAAATATACAAGACTACTATTACTACTACTAACGTAACTCTTCAGTTTGTAACGCGCCGTTTATACAGAGACGGCTGTAAGATTCTTCGCAAAATTAATTCGACGCTCTCGTCTCTTCGCAAGCTGTTTCTTGTGCGCGATCTTGCGTTTCTTATAAATATATATAATTATTCTACTAATAAAACGATCGATAAATTTCACAGAAAAAAAACGAATTTTACTTTTAGAATTAAGAAAAATCATAGAATTTATACAATATAAAAAATTTACAAAGATTGCACTTATCCAAGTAATTGAACGAACTCGAGAAATTCATCACGTGTTTGATACGCATTTAATACGCAAATTGATACGTATCGCAATACAATATAATGATAAAATAATATATTCTCCGAATCAGTAAAAATTTGACGGAAATTTACGAGAAAAATTTACGAGAAAAATTTAAGAGAATAATTGGCCTTTGCGTCGCGACTATTCTCAGTAATAATACTAAATAAATTTGTATATATGATTGCCTATCTCGATTAGAATGTTGATTTGTCAGAAGAAACAGCTCGAAGAAGTATACGTCGATTTCTATTCTTGCCATGCCCATCTGTATATAGGCATGCTCAATTCTAGGATCGGAAACGCGTATCGTGAAAAAAAAATCACACATAATATTAAACTACGAAACGCGCGAATACAAATTATTATCCGACTTTGTACCTATATATATTATTAATTAACTTAATGAAAAAGTACGGGGTGAAACCCCGAGTACTAATATCGATATGAATAGTAGAAGCTAACGAAGATTGGAACATGAAAAAAAAGAAAAAATCGTGAGAGAAAAGATCTAGCAAAAAAAAAAAATATAATAAAGATGAAAGAACATTACTTACGAATGAAAATGCCTGAGAGCCAAGGGGTACCACTTTTGTCAAATTTAGAAAGCCAATTTAGGTTTACAATAAAATACAATAGGGTGTATACGTGTGTGTCGGGCGTGCGAAAAGGATTGGAAAGAAAAGGTGAGAGTGAAAGGATATGCGATCCAGCGAAAGAAAAGGAAGGGATTAAACGTCGTAACCGAAACGTCGTAAAGACATCGGCAAGAACGAGCTATAAAATGAATTATCCACTATTCTCATAGAAAGAAGTTCATCAGGTAGCTTAGGTGATCTCTAATCTTGTATCTCGTGAGCTCACGAACGACTCGTATTCCCGATATTTTGGACGAATCTTGAAAACTAATGTTGCGATCAGATTACGTGTCAATTTTTTGACGGATTTTAATTTTAATTTAATTTTCTCGATCATTGCGAGAAACGCGTATTAATATTAACGGACGTTCTAATTAAATTTTCTTCCGATGCTCTTTTCAAATACACGATTTTCGGTGGAATTGTCTTTTTTCAGCATCATCCGATATCTTTTAAAACGAATTACGAGTCGGTCGTAAGATAATGCGCGCGCGCCCGCGAAGCAATTTTATTATTTTAATATTAAATAGACAAAAGAAAAAGATTTTACTATATTATATTTCACGAAATCATTGAAGACGCAACTGCGCGCGCGTGCGGCGGGACTCGTACATTTCTATCATTTTATTATGATAAGTGTTTAAATTTATTTCTCTAAAAAGTACGACAAAAAGGATGAGAGAGAGAGAGAGAGAGAGAGAGAGAGAGAGAGAGAACTGCAAAATGAAAAGCATAAAAAGTGAAAAAGAAAGAGAACAGATGTGTAAGAAACGAAATAGTGGGCGTTAGAAAAGATGTTTACTTTTCGTTGAACAAAAGAAAGAAAGAAAGCATAAATCACGAAAGAACGAAAGAATTTAAGCAGTACGTTTAGACAACATTTCGGAGAATCTCAGCCGAGAACTCCGTGAACCTTTGTTCCGCTCTCGCTTTCGAAAACATCGAAGAAATCCGAATTGATTCAAAGTAATCATTGCATGATATGAATGTTATATTTTAATTTTTTTCAATTATATAATATGCATTTTCTCTCTCTTCACACCGCGTACGACCAATCGCGGATCGCTTTAAAGGCTGTCGCCTCATTCACGGAGCTCGCGGTAGGAGATCGCGAGATGAATAAATATAAAACGTTAGTGACTGTATCCAGTATCATATATCTGATAAAAGATACCCCCGATGCCAGAGATGGCGTGTGACAATAAAGTGATTCAATGATTTTGCTGTGTTTTAATCATTTTTTATGTCACAGTTCGTTTTACTCCTTATATAAAAAAAGCTGTAAATTTATATAAATCATCAGGATTTCCTTAATATGTTGAGAAGTCGACAAGAATTTTATATCAGTTTTAGTACTCTGATATGATTTATAAAGCCATTTAAGTAATGCTATTAACTGCTCTTTTTAAAATTATGATTTATTTAATAAATTGAAAATTTTAAGAAATGAGGACTAGACTTTGTTATAATTATATAAAAAAATTGTTTTAAATTGGAGAAAACAACATATGAAGCATTTGTAATTTAGAATAATAAAATTTTATTATAAATATTATAAATATTATAAATATTTATTATAAATTATAAATAGTTTTTATATAAATATAATTATAAATATAAAGAAGAATTTATTTTTTATAAATTTTCTTTATAATTGAAAAAATTGAATCAATTTTGAAGATTTACATTTAATATGAGTTTTAAAAAAGATCTTTTTTAAACTATTTATTAAATAGATAAATGAGTGAGATTAGGATATATTTTTTGTAGAAATAAAAACAATATTAAATATATATTAACAGAAGAAAATCAAATAGACTGTATAAATGACATAGAGTTTTCTATGAGCAAAAATACCGTTACTTTTGGACATAGGTAAAAAACGAATCACCCACAAATAAAATTAATGAATGTATAGAAAACGTATCTGTCCGTTATTTTTTTTACCTGAAAAGGAATAGTCAATATTTGTCAAGCATTCATAAAAGCAGGAAAAACCCATAAAATTTTACACATATTTGAAAGAGAAAAAAGAGAAATCTTTAAATGTCTTTTTTAAATCTTTAAATGTCTTTTGTAAATTTTTTCTTTTCTTTTCTAATCTTTTTGTTTGTATAAACCTACTAGTTTGTACTAAGATGGTCGTGCTTCGTTAAAACCATTCCATATGGAATGGTAGTTAATAGCACATTCCCAAAAAGTTCAGTTTGCGATTTGGCTTCGTACAGTGAACATCGTGCCCTATTCGTGAACGGAGTTAAAATGTAAACGGAGTTAAAATGTAAATGTGTCGACAAATTCGTTAATAAAACAGAATTTTTTCAAAGTTTTAAAATTTAAAAAAATTTTTAATAACAATAACAATGGCTACGCTAATACACATGCCTGCAGAAATAATTTCCAAAATTTTAGAATATAAAGATATCACCATTAAAGACATCGTAAACTTTAGCTCCACATCCAAGCAGTTCCGATATATAATTATTAATGACAATACTCTATGGAAAAAAAAGTTTTCCCAAAGGTAAGTTTTTTATTTGTTATTTTACTTGAGTAGTTTATTACATATATTAGAAGAAATTTGGCCGAAAATCTGATTAAAAAACAAAGTAAAACTTATATCACACAAAATCTTCAATTCTTCATTTGAAATAAATTTCTGGTTTTTTAAAAATTTTAAATATTTCGAAAAATAAATGTAATACAAGAAATTTTAAAATTAATTCCTATGCAGTATTTTCAAAAATTCGCAAATTTTTATGCATTGTTTTAAGCATTAATTTCTTCGCGTTTCTGATGAAATCACATAAACTTTGAAACTTTATAACTAAAAACTATAAGTGATATAAAGTCTATCTTTGTTTAAAAGTTTTCAAAGCTTTTGCGAAAAAGCTTTTCCAAGGTTCTATAAAAAATATAGAATAATTTAGTATACTATCAATAACTATTTCGCGCAATTTGGAAATAATTGTGAAGGAGATAATTTTTCGAACAAGAATAAATCTAATATACAGAAATTTTCGTAGAATATTTTTACGAAAGTAACATTTGATAATATTTTAGCCGAATGAGAAACAGTGACGTAAAATATTTCATGTTATCAATTTTCATAGATAATGTACGTTAAAGATATATATATAATAAAATATATAATAAAATAAAAATACCATGTGCTACCGGCCCATAAGTAAATTTTGTACAAAACTTTGATTTCAGTTGATGATTCATTCTAGACTTTTTGTTTAGGCTGTTTGATATTTTAATTTTCTAATAGAAAAATATTAATTTTGTATATTATTATAAATTTTAGTACATAATACATAATGAGTTATACTATAAACACGACAATACGTAGTTTATATCACACAAAATAAAAAGTTTCTTGAATCTTACCGTTAATTCACCTTGTGGATTTTGATAATCGATGCAAAAAGTTTAAAATACTTGAGCATACGCATTAATTATTTTTCATGGATGCGTACAAGAAATTTAAACTTTATATGTAATAATATAACATAGTAATAAAATATAATATAAAACTGTTTCATCACACGCGCTGTATTGTAAAAATTATTATTGTTATAATTCGTTTAAAGATTATTTACGCGTATTTTCTATATTTATTAATAAGATTAACGTTTTAAATATATTTCTTTAATTTGACTTAAATATATATTGCATTTGTACAATTGCGTTGTACAATTTTTATGATTTTATGTTATAACTTTAAAATATTAATTAAATTATTTTTTTTTGTTTAAATTCTAGATGGCCCATTGCAACACAAAACTACGAAAGAAAAATGGGGAAAAGTTTTTGTAATGTTAATATTTCAGATGTACAAGCAGCTGTAAAATGTACAACAGAATTGTGGAATTTTGTGTCTGACATGTCCAAGAGACACTACTACTATTCTAGAGACCATGAATATTTGGACGATTTCTTTTCATTGTTTGAAAAACGTTGCTTAGATGTTATGCATTGTACTTTCTTGAAAGATGAACTTATTAAAATTATTTACACATCTCCAGAGTATGTCTCAAGATATACAGGGTGTCTCATCTAGAAGTGGCCACCCCCTTTTATCTTTTAAACTAAAAGAGATAGACCATAACAAATATATATGAAATTAAATGGCTTTATCTGAACTTTATTATGAGTATAGTGGTTGATTACAAAATTTATCTGTATTAAAGAACGGAGAGATATGTATAATTTTTTTATAATAATGTAGATATTTTAATATAATAAAAGTTGTAGCGCTGTTTGAAACGAATATAACGATGTATGATTTAATGTAAATATTTTACATATTATACGAGATTTTCCGACTTGAAATATCGCGGGCAACGTCCACCATTTCATTTTCGGCCCTGCTATATAGCCAACTTCTGACTGAGTATCATGATTAAATGACAACATGACATATGTCAACTTCACAATAAAGTTCAGTTAAAGCCATTTAATTTCATATATATTTGTTATGGTCTATCTCTTTTAAAAGATAAAAGGGGGTGGCCACTTCTAGGTGGGACACACTGTACATTAAAATATTATCAGCATGTAATAAACTAATGTATTAATCAAATAATTGGGAATATTTCAGGCAACTCGATTTAACGCGAAGATATTATAGTATAAAACTTTTTCAATGTTGGATTAGACATTATCTTGAAAGAAAAGTAAAGAAATTTAAAGAGAATCTCAATCATCTTACGGAAGAAGAAGTGCTTACAGTTATTTTGCAGTTGTGTCAACCGGAGAAATATATATCATATTTACGTATAGATAAATTTATTGACAACATCGTACAAGAAGTATTAAAGGGTCTAAGAGAGGAATATCCCAGTCACAAAATATTCTTGATATCACCGGAGCAATTGGCTATTTGGAGATATAATAATATTGAAGAAAATTATTGGGATGAAAGTCAAGCAAAACAAATTAAAGGCATATTAGACAAAATTATTTTAAATTTTGATTCCTATAACTTAAATTATCCGTGGAAATCAGATGAAGTAAGTATATATAAACATATATGCCGCATATTTTTTTACATGATATTCTTTTTTTATTACTGTCGTAACTATTATAATTATTTTTTATTATATTGAGATTACAAGTATGTATATTAAGTCATTATCTCTTATTACAGATTAGAGAAGGTTATTTGTGGCAGTTACAAAATAGAAAAAACTTATGGCTAACAATATATTGTTGCATGGCAAGAAGATTGGGCATATATATTGAACTATCAATGCATTATGAATGTCAATATGATTCAATTCATATAGCTTGGAAATCGAAGTAAATACCTAATCTTAGTTTTGAGATCACATATCTTAATTTTTCTTATACTTCTATTATACACATAAATAAATACGTGTTTGCATTCATACATAAACAATGTAAAAGAATAATAATTTAATAGGTTGGAGAAATTATAATAATAAGTATATTATTATATAATAAGTAATGATTTTTCTCGGTGCTTTTTTTTGCTAAGAAAAATTTGATTCTAAATAGGCTAACAAATTTATCAGTAAGAGCATCATCAGAATATCATATATTGTATGAAATACATCTATATATACATGTTTCTTTTTTTATTGTTTATACAGAAATCATAAAGAATATAAAGAATATTTTTACATTGATTGGAAGTATAAATCTAATCTGGCGATTTCTGTCATGAATAAATGTGACTTAATGCCCAATCCAAAGAAGATATCTTTAAGTGAAGTAAGTAGTTATTTATATACGATTTTGATGGTTATAATTTTACATGATAAAATTGATGGTTACAATTGTATCCAGTTCCATTTTGACAGAAATTACGTCTTGTTCATAAATGTAATTGTGTTTTGATAATTCCATCAAATCTCTAAAATAGAAATACATATAGTAGAATAATAAATCGAATGGTTGCTTTATTTACAATGTATAAGTTTATTATATATAACACACATAATCATTTATTATTATGAATTTTATTTTAAATTTTATTTTTTATGTTTTAGTAATGAAAAAGTATAAAATTTTATGAAAGAAAAGAAGAGATCAAATTATATGTATGAAGAAGAATACTAAGCGATTCTTTCTTTATATATTTCTTAATATATTTAATATATTCTTAATATATTCTTAATATATTTCAAAAACATGAAATCAATAAGTTTGCTTTTAATATTTAGCTTTAGAAAAAATCGCGAATATTCACATAATTCACATGTGACAATTGCTATCAATTACAGAATTTAACAGAAATATCTTTATATTTCCTTTATATTCTCTAAATTTTACAATACAATTGTAATCGGAATTTTGTCATTACGGATAATTTTGTGATTGATTATGAATTTAATAACTAATCTTTCTTTAGCTAATGGTAGCACTAGAAAAAGATTTCGAAGATGATATACCGACACAACTTAGTTTCCTCCGTCTTACATACGAATATATAAATAGTGATGTGGTGAGTATTTTTTTATGCGTTATTATACATATTGTTTTGAAAGAAGCTTATTAAAATATAGAAAGTTAATATATAATCATAATTATTCAATATTAATTATCTGTAATTGAAATCGTAACAAAAATTGATTTAAAATTTAGTTGACAAGATATGTCAGCGGATTATTATTTTATTTTCAGCGGAAATGTACTCCTTTTGCTGAAAAACATTGGAAGCAAAGATCAAATAATTTAAAATTCGCTGTTGGAATGGTCGTTATACATAGACATCGCGGAAGAGAAAATCAAACTGGTGTCATAATTGGATGGCATACCAAATTTCAACCTCACTGGTTTTCTTTTTGTTCTTGTTCCTCTCATTTTGAACGTAACATGCGGAACCATTTACAACCATATTACATAATCTTAATGGATGATAACATCATGTGTTACGTACCACAATGTATGAATATCAAATTAAACGTTTCTTTGTATTTATATATTATATAATATATATATTTTATTATGTATTAAATGTATAACGTATAAAAAAATATATGTTCTATTTTAGGCTTTATAACATCAATATGTATGGCTCGGTGGATTTATAATACAGAAATTGGACGCTATTTTCGAAAAATTAAAGATACGCATTATGTTGCAAATGAAATGTCAGCAAGAAGGTATCCAAGAGACGCAGCTGTTATTCGCAGAAATATTCATGATCAAGTTCATATGTAACATTGTAACATCGTTATATGTAAAACAACATTTGTATATTGTTCTATATAAAACATTTGTATATTGTAATATGTAAAACAGCATATAATAAATATAATATATTCTAAATATTTCGCAAAACGATTTAATACAAATATATTACAGTATAAAACTTTTTCAACACTGAATTAGATAAAATTTTACAAAAAAGTGGAAAAAACTTAAAAATAAATCCCATCAGCAACAAATTTGGGAAGAAGTACTTATATTTATAATACAATAGTGTCAACTAGAGAAATATGTATATTTTTTATTTGCATTTAAATTTAGAAATTTATTGTCAATACTATGCAAGAACTGTTAAGGCATCTTAGAGAGTAAAATCCCACGCATGAAGTATTCTTGACATCAACTCATCTTAGCGAGCAATTTTCCTTTTATATGCATAGTAATATCAATGAGAATTATTGAGATGAAATTAAAGCTAATTAAATGTATATTGGACAAAATTATTTTAAATTTCGATTTCTATAAATTAGATTATCCGTGGAAATCAGATTAAGTAGATATATACGGACATATATGCGGAATATTTTCTTATGTCAAATTTTTTTTATTATAAGTATAGTAGTCAGACCCTATTGTAGTTCTTTTATTATAAACTATCATAAATATTATAATTATTTTCCATTATACTGAGAGATTATAAGTATGTATATTATCTTATTATTTTATTACAAATTAGAGTTAGAATTACAATTATTTTCATAAATTATAGAAAATAGGATATAAAGAATATTTTAACATTGATTGCACGCTGAATCTAATCAGCGCAGATTTCTGTCATAAATAAATGTCAATCAATGGTCAGTCCAAAGAAGATGCGTACAACAAAAATGAGTAGTTATCTATATAAAATTTTGATGATTATATATAATTTTATTCAGTTTCGGACAGAAATTACGTCTTATTCATAAAAGTAATTGTGTTTTGATAATTCTATGAAATCCTTAAAACAAAAATATGTAGAATGATGAATCGAATGATTATTTTGTGTACAATATATAAGTTCATTATACATAATACACATATATGTGGACGCGTGTAAAAAAATGGAGGGGAAGAAAGAGGATTCCATTAAGAATTAACGTCAGAGTTTAAAATATAAGATAGAAAAGATCCAGAGAAAGATAGGGATGTATGTAGGAGGAGGTCGGACGTGTCTGTCCATTTGATCAACGAGCGACAGAATCCATCGGTGGCTACGGCATTGACGCATATCCTGTGGAGAGAGCATTCACACATTTTTCAGCCTAACGAATAATTGCTAGAAAACAATATTCGCAGACTAGAAAAATATGTGAGGCGCAAGTGGCTAGATTGGGAATCGAATCCGAATCTTTCGCTTTTCGAGCAATAGCTCTAGAACACTGAGCTATCCAGATCTCATACTGCTTTTTAACACAGTGATATGCGACTTCAGAGCGATGTTGTATCTCACTTGATGGATACAATGCCAATTGTCATAGAGGATCCCTGAAAGATCGTTCGCTGACCAAATAAGTGCCGGTGGCGGTATTCGCGTGCATGCTGGCTTCGAGCATCATCGAGAATGATGCTTGTGACGCTTATTCGATGATCGAAAGAGTGTATCTACATCACGCAAACTGAAAATGGACTGTTAAAGACCAATGACGAACTGAACTGATTGATCTGATGTGTCCCATTGAACTGATTGATCTGAAGTAATTGACTGAAGTGACTGATTGTAATGACTGACTAATTGAAGTGACTGACTGAAGTGACTGACTGAAGTGACCAATGCTCCTTGAGAGCTTCTCTTTTAATACCCGATTCGATTTACTTTTCCGATACGTATCTTATCCTTCGATTAGATTTTAGATTCACAAAATTTGTTTAATTATTTGTTAAAGAGATCGGTATTGCTTTATTGTTAGCATTTCCTGCGTGTTTTTTCGTGATTTCTCATAGATATCAGATAAATACAGATTATTATAAGCCAGAGAGGCTCTATTTGATCAATGATTTTGCTTATCATTAATCGAATTGTTGCAACTTCGTCAAAAGAAGGAATCGTAGAGTCGGCTGGACGTAACATATGATTGCCTTAAAATATACAACTTAATAGAGATATTAGATATATTTATATTCAATATAATTATATTTTTATATATCGTTAAAGATATTACTCTTCTTAATTTGATATTTTATAATTGCAATTTATTGCACATATTATAAGAAAATAAATTGCACGTATATAACATCTTTTGTAATATTCTAATAGTCTAATTATCAATTTCTTTTTTTACATAGAGAATAATTTTAGAATAGATAAAATAGCGTTTCTCAAATGAACTCATTGTTCCATATAAAACAGATATCATTTTAAGATTTAGTATTTTATTTAGGTTTAATGTCAATTAATTGTATTTCTTACTGAGAATTATTTATGTATGTAGCGTATAATTTCTATTTAATTTTCAAAATATACAATATATGAATAAATTATATATATTCTCAAATTTTTTATTAACAAAGAAATAAATTAAAATAGCACTTATGAATGTGTTGTGCTGGGAGCGGCACAAGATGTGGGGTAGCCGGAAGAAATCAACAAGATTTCGAGACCGCCGGTTGTTTTTAAATTGTTATTATTATTATTATTATTATTATTATTATTATTATTATTATTATTATTATTATTGTTTTTTATTATCACTTTTATACATATTAATATACATATATAAATCTTTTTAATTCAATACAAGCCTCTTTCATTAATATCTTCAGCCTCGTTCTTAATTCCGTTAAATTTCGAATTCGAACAAATTTTCTTTTATTACTCATTGCTAGACAGCGATTAGCCCTTATCAATGTTTTATCGATTTTTAATTAACGACTGTCCGTCGGAAGCTCGATGGACTTTCGATTTTTAACACCTTGCTTTTAGAGGAATTTTGGAGGGGATTGCCTAGCAACATGACCATATACCGTCATGGAGGATTTCGTAGCGGTCAAAGCGAAGGAGGTTCAAAGTCGAAATCCTTCGTTGGCATTTTCGCATTTCCGGCCAACGCGCACATGGTGGCCTCAACTTCGTTGACGTGGCGGTTTTATGCGGTTCGCAAACATTCCATCGCGTTTTAATAATAAAATTTATATTAACTGTAAAATAATGTTATAGTCTTTTAAACTATAACAAATGTTACGAAAGTTGCAAACTTTTGTAGTATTATCGAATATTCCTATAGAAAGAAATCCATCATATAGCTTAGACTCTGCAATCTTATAGTATCTCGTAAGGTCATGAATAACTCGTATTTCCAATTTATCCGTATATTTTAGATAAACTTTGAGAATTGCTTGCGGTCCGATTGTGTATCATTTTTTTGACCGATTTTGATCTATCATTGCGAGAAGCTCATTGTACCGCATTAATTATCTATCTAATTACCCATAGAATACAGAAAATTGCAGCAATATTGCGGCAACACTGCAATGCTGTAGCAATGTGTTACAACAATATTAATAATATTGCTTCAATATTCTATGCTGTATGGGTAGATTCACCTCTAGTATTCTTTTCAAATACACGATTTTCGGTTAAATTACTTTTCTTTAACATCATCCCATATATTCTAAAACGAATTACAAGTCGGTCGTAAAATAATTTATGTGCGCGCGAAATAGTTTTATTATTAATATTAAATAAACAAAAGATATTACTATATTACATTTCATTCCCAAGATTTTACTATATTACATTTCGTGGAATCATTGAAGACACAACAGCGCACGGGCGACGGAACTCGTAAATGTTATGTAATGATAGATGTTTGAATTTATTTCTCTAAAAAATATGGCAAGAAGGTGAGAAAGAGAGGGAGAGAGAGAGGGGGGGGGGGGGGGAAAGAACAGCAAAACGAAAAGCGGAAAAAGTGAGAAAAGAAAATATGTTTAAGAAACGAAACAGATGGTGTTAAACAAGATGAATTACTTTTTTTTCATTGAAAAAGAAATAAAAAAAGCATAAATCACAAAAGAAAAAATAAATACAGAAAAAATAAAATAAAAAGTAAAAACCATAAATCACAAAAGAATGAAAGAATTTAAGCAATATGCTTGCAGTAAACGACATTGAAGAAACTCAGGTAAGAACTCCATGAATTTTTGTTCCGCTATCACTTTTAGAAACATCGGAGGAATCTAAATTAATTCAAAATAAACGTTGCAAAATATATTAATATGAATATTATATTTTCATTTTTTTAAATTATATATATATATATTTAATAACATTCATTTTCCACATTGCGACACATAGATCATTTTAAAAACTGTCGCCTCTGACTTACAGAGTTCGGGAGAAGATCGCGAGATGATTAAGTATAGAACATAAATAATTGTGCATAATTGAACATAAATGATTCAGCATCATATATCTGATAAAAGATACTCTCGATATCACAGATGATATATGATAAAGTAATTCAATAGTTTTTTTGTATTTAACATGTAAAGTATTTGTAATTTATAATGATAAAATTTTATTTCAAAAATGTAAGTAGTTTATATATATATATATATATATATATATATATATATATAATTAAAGATATAAAAAAGCATTTTTATTCCCGGCTGTTGCCAATCTACGGATGGCAAAAGAAGTATGCGTTTCACCGAGCTCGGATCGGTTCTTATAATTATTCTCGATAACAATAACATAGTTCGGTGTCATCTTTTGCACATCATTTTTTATTAATCAAGCATGGCTTATATTCTTTATAAATTTTTTTTATGAATAAAAAAATTAAATCAATTTTGATAAAAATGTATGAGTTTTAAAAGAGATCTTTTTTAAGCTACTAAATAAATAGATAAATGAGTGAGATTAGGATATATATTTTTTGTGCAGAAATAAAAACAATGTTAAAATATATTAACAGAAGAGAATCAAATAAGCCATATAAATCACATAGAGCTTACTATGAGCATTAATTAAAACCGTTATTTATGGAAATAGATAAAATATGAATCACAGACAAGAATTAAAGAATGCATAAAGAAAGTATCCGTTCTTTGTTTCCTTTATCGGAAAAAGTAAATAGTCAAAAATTGCCACTATTCATAAAAGCAGATAAGTCCCGTAAAACTCACTGCGCATGCTCGAAAGAGAGGGAAAAGAAATGCCATTAAATTCATTTTTCCGTTTCTTTATTGGTCTTTCTAGTTAAACCTAAGATAGTCGTGCTTTGTTAGAACCATTCCATAGGACATCCCCGAAAGGTTTAGTTTGAGATTTGGCTTCGTACAGTGAACATCGTGCACTATTCGCGAAGTTAAAGTGTATCGACAGATTCGTTAATAAAACAGAATTTTTTCAAAGTTTTAAAATTTTTTTAAATTTTAATAATAACAACAATGGCTATGCTAATACACATGCCTACAGAAATAGTTTTCAAAATTTTAGAATATAAAGATATCACCATTAAAGACATCGTAAACTTTAGCTCCACATCCAAGCAGTTCCGCCAATTAATTATTAATGACAAAAATCTATGGAGAAAAAAGTTTATCCAGAGGTAAGTTTTTTATTTATTATTTCATTTGTTATTTGAGTAGTTTATCACACATATGAGAAAAAATTTGACAAAAATCTGGCCAGAAACTAAAAATTATATCAAACTAAATAAATCGTTTCCTGAACTGTTTGAAACAAATACCTCGCATTTTAAATATTTTTAAAAATAAAAATGTAATTCAAGAAATATTAAAATTAATTTCTAATCAATATTTTCAAAAATTCGCATATTCGCAATGCTATCGCATTGTTCTAAGAATCGATTCTTTTGCGTCTCTAATAAAATCCTGTAAATTTTAAAAATTTTTAGCTAAAAACTATCAATGATGTAAAGTCTGTCTTTGTTAAAAATATTTTCTAAACATTTTCGGAAAAACTCTTCCAAGGTTCTATAAAAAATATAGAATAATTTATTATATTATCAATAACTATTTCTTGCAAGGAATAGGAATAACTATGACAGAGATGATTTTTCGAACAAGAATAAATCTAAAATATATACATTTTTGTGGAATATTTTTATACGAAATTAATATATTTTAGCTAAATTAAAAGCAATAATATAAAATACTTCATGTTATATTTCATCAGTTTTCATAGATGATCTGTACGTTAAATATATACAAAGAAATATATAATAAAATGAAAATATGTGTGTTACCGACAAATCATTCGGCCCATATGTACATTTTCTACAAAACTTTAATTTCTTAGTTGATGATTCATCGTAGACTATAATTTTTGTTCAGGCCATTTGATATTTTAACTTTCTCATAGAAAAATATTAATTTCTTTATATTATTTTATGTTTTAACACGTAATACATAAGTTGTACCATGAACACGACAGTGCGCAGCTTATATCACACAAAATAAATAGTTTTTTAAATCTTATCGTTTATGCCACACGAATTACTAATAATCGATACGAGAAGTTTAAAATATTTGAGCGTACGCATAAATTTGTGGCAGATATCTGTGCGAATGTATAAGAAATTCAAACTTTATATGTTATAATATAATATATAAACTGTTCGTCACATGCTGCATTGTAAAAATAAACTGCGCATTTTGTAATTATTTAGTATAGTGTATATATTTGGTCACAAGAATGTTATCGATCATAAAATATCACGTTGTCAAATAATGAAACATTGTATAAAACATGCTGAATTATGTATGTACAGTAGGCGCCAATGATGCCTTAACATATGAAATGGTCGCATTTGAGACTAATAATAACTTAATAATATCTAGTCATTATTAATCCCAAATGCGACCAATTTCATATGTTAAGACATTATTAGCGCCTACTGTATTTGAAAAACGTGTCTCTCAAGACGTTTTACATTAGATTTCATTTATCTTAAAGTCAATAGTCTGGCGTATCTTGCATCCATAGATATTTAGACATTATAAATCAAAATCCAGTTGGCATTCCAAATGAAGTTTACATATATTGTAATCTATAAAGATAATATTATTATTATATTATTATTGATATAATTTGCTTAAAGATTATTCGCTCATATTTCCTATTTTTATTAATAATATTAAATGTATTCTTCAATTTGATTTAGATATTATTCGGCATTGTACAATTTTTGATATGATTTAAGAAAATCAGTTAAAATATTTCTGTTTAAATTTTAGATGGCCTTCTGTGAAAAAATATTATGAGGAAGATGATAAAGATTTTTATGAAGCCGATATTACAAATGTGCAAAGCGGTATGAAATGCGCAAAAGAATTGTGGGCCTATGTATCTCACATGTCCGAAAAGCATTATTACTATGTTAATAATCATAAATATGTAGATGAATTCTCTTCCTTATTCAGCCTACATAAAGATTGCTCAAATGCGCATTCTATGCATTGTGCTATTTTGAAAGATGAATTTATTAGAAGCATTTATACACAATCTCCATGGTATGTGACTCAAGATATATATTAAAATATAATTAATATATATATATATATATGTATGTATATATAAAATAAATTAATATATTAATTATGTACAATAAATTGTGAATATTTCAGGGAATGCGATTTAACACATAGATATTACAGTATGAAACTTTTTCGATGCTGGCTTAAAAAAAATTTTGAAAGAAATTGGAAAAAATTTATAAATAAGCCTCATCAACAACAAATTTTAGAAAAAGTGCTTGCTATAACATTACAATGGTGTCATCCAGAAAAATATATTTCTTCGTCCCATGTAGACAAACTGATTGAAGATATTATGCAAAATGTGTTAAAGCTTCTTAAAGAGAAAAGTCCCACTCATGAAATATTTTCGATATCATCTAAACAATTTTCCTTTTGGAAACATAATAATATTCATGAAAATTATTGGGGTGAAACTAGTGCAAGACAAATTAAATGCAGATTGGACGATATTATTTTAAATTTCGATTGCTATAACATAGATTATCCGTGGAAATTGGATCAAGTACGTATATGCGGACCCATACGCAGCATATTTTCTTATGTGATATTTTTTCTTATTACAAATTACCGGAAATACTATAATTATTTTTCATTAAATAAAATATATAAGTTTATTTTAAGTTATTTTAAGTTATTGTTTTGTTACAGATTAGAGAAAATCATTTTCAGGAATTACATAATAAAAAACTGTTATGGTGTATAATATATATCTGCGTGGCGAGAAGAATGGGTATACATATTGAATTAACAATGATGTACCGTAGCAATATATTTTCTTCAGAAACTTGTTTGGCTTGGAAACCAAGGTAATATATGTACCTGATCTCGATTTTGAGATCGCTTAATTTTCCTTTCATATACGCATATTATTATGTTTACATTCACACATGTACATAATGTAAGAAAAAGATGTATAATCTAATAGACTAAAGCATTAGAATAAATAATAATTTTTTTCGGTACTTTTACTTTTAAAAAATTGCTCTAAATAGACTAAAATAATTCACATTAAAAGATATAGTACTGATATCTATATATATCTATATATACATCTGCTATACTGTATATACATCTACTTATATATATATTTTTCTTTATTTTCTATACAGAGGTCGTAGAGAATATACAGAATATTTTAATATTGAGCGGATGTACGATCAAGCAGATTTCTTTAATCAGCAGATTTCTTTTATAATTATATATCAATCACATCAAGACGTGCCGGATCGGATGAAGATATCTATAAAACAAGTGAGTTATTAATTATTTGTATTACGATTTTTTATTTGAATAGGGTTTTAAACAAAAATCTTTGCTTTCTATTCATAAATATAATTGTTATAAATATAAATGTTTTCTAAGATAAAATTGTATATTTGATGGAAAATACTCAGCGATTCTCCCTCTATAGTACATTACAAGGAAATTGAAATCAATTAGTAGCTTTTAATACATATGTATTTAGCTTTAGAAAAATTGTGAATGTTCACATAATGTGCAACAATTGCTATCGATTATAGAATTTGACAAAGAATCTTAAATTTTATATATATGTAATTGGAATTTTGTTATTACAAATAATTTTATAATTTATTTAAAATTTAATAATAATAAAATTTAATAATAACTAATTTTTTTTTTAGATAATCTATGAACTAGGAAAAGTTTTTAAAAATTATATGCCGACAGATATTTCTTTTACTCTTCTCTCAGAAATAGATATAAATAATGATATGGTAGGTACTTTTTTTATGTTATTATAAATCACTTTGAAGATAGTTTATTATATGTATACATAAAGTACATTAATATATAATCATATTTGTTATAATTATAAATTATTATCTATAATCAAAATCAAAACTACAAAACTCGATTTAAAATTTAATTAAAAAAAGAAACGTCAATTATATTCTAATTTTTCAGTGTACATCTCTTCTTATTGAAAAGTGTTGCGAAAGAAGATCGGATAAAGTAAAATTCGCAATTGGAATGGTTGTTAGTTTTGGAGATAATTATGAAAGTAAAGCTGGTTACGTCGGTGTCATAATTGGATGGCATAACAAATATCAAACTGAATGGTTTTCTTTTCCTCCGTATCAATTAGAGTTCGAATGTGACATTGGGAACCACGTAGAACCGTATTATATCATTTTGATAGATAATGACATCATGTGTTACGTACCACAAAGTATGAATATCAAATGTTTCTTTCTGTTTATATATCATACAATATATATATATATATATATATATATATATATATATATTTATTATGTATTATTTGTATAACGTATAAAAATTTATGTTTTGTTTTAGGATTTATAACATCGATATGCAAGTCACGGTGGATATATAATACAGAAATAGGGCGATATTTCTGTAAAATGACGGATACACATTATATCCCTAATCAAATGCTAGCAAAACATTACCCAAAAGATGCTGCGGTGATTTATGAAATATTTAATAATAATAATAATTTATAATTTACTAATACTATTTTTAATATTTTATTAATACTATTTTTAGGTAGTTTTAGATAGTAGATATATGCGAACATATAATCAAAATATTTTCTTATGTCATATTTTTTTTTGTTATAAAATAGTAATAGTAGTAGTCAGTCTCTACTGTAGTTTTTTTATTATGAACTATTATAAATATTATAATTATTTTCCATTACTGAAATTTTTCCATACTGAAATTATAATTATGTATATTATGTATATTATGTATCTATGTATATTATCTAAATATATGTAATCTTTGTATATTATCTAAATTTATTGTTTTATTACAAATTAGAGTTAAAATTAAAATTACTTTCATTAGTTACATTAGGGAAAATAGGATATAAAGGATGTTTTAATATTGAATGTATGATGAATTTAATCTGTATATTTGTCATAAATAAATGTCAATCAATGGCCAATCCATTGAAAATGCGTACAACAAAAGTGAATAGTTATTTACATAATCACATTCATTATCATAAATTTTAAATTTTACTTTAAATTTTATTTTGAAATTATTTTTTATATTTTGGAAATGGTGCAGGATAAGATTTTTAAAAAGAAAGAAAAGATAAAATTGTATATTTGATGAAAAACACATTAGCTACATTTAGCTATGATTCCTATATAATATATTTCAAGAACATTGAAGTCGATTAATTTGTTTTTAATATTTAGCTTTAGAAAACTTGCGAATGTTCAGATAATGTGTAACAATTTCTACCAATTATAAAATTTATTAAAAATACATTTGTAATGTGTATTTTGTCATTACGGATAATTCTGTGATTGTTTTAGAATTCAATAATTAATTCCTTCGGATGATTTTATAATTTAGAATTTAATAACTAATAATTGATTTAGAATTCTTTCCATCTTATAAATATGTATATAAACTATAATATAAAGTATTTTTTATGCGTCATTATAAAAATTATTTTAAAAATAGTTATAATATATAGATAATAAATATATAATAATATTAATTATAATTATCTGTAATTAAATTATTACAAAAATCGATTTAAAATTTAGTTGAGAAGAAAGACATCAATTATTTTCGAACATGTATTCCTCTAACTGGAAAATATTAAAACAAGATCAAGTTAATACAAAAATTTACAATTGGAATGATTGCTAATCATAAACATGGCTGAAATGAAAATAATGTTGATGTCATGTTGATGGATAATAGAGTGATCTTTTTCGAACTGAACTTTCGGTTTTCTTTTCCTCCTTGTATTTTGGATTTCAAACGTAATATGCGGAACTATTTACAACTATTTTACATTAATGAAAAGATTAATAGAAAATGACAGCATGCGTTATGTGTCACAAAATATAAGAATTGAGAATACGAGAATATTATGTATTAAATAAAATGCTAACGAGACATTATCAAAGAGATGCCGCAATTATTTTCGAGTTAATAACAACCATTTATAACATTTTAAAATGATTATTGTTTGATAATTTATACTATATTGAAATATTGATATCAAAAAGTAACATGCTCACAACAACCGGTTTTTCCAAGCAGACTTCCTGTGTGAATGCTGTTTATAATTATGTTATAGTTCGACATATAAATTTTTGATAGTTAAACTACAACTCTCGTTACATATATATATATATATATATATATATATATATATATATATATATATAAGATAGAGTACAGAAAATTGCAGCAATATTGCGGCAACATTGCAATGCTATAGCAATGTGTTACAACAATATTAATAATATTGCTTCAATATTCTATGCTCTATGGGTAGATTCACTTCTAGTATTCTTTTCAAATACACGATTTTCGACAATTGCTTTCCTTTAACACCATCCCATATCTTCTAAAACAAATTACAATTCGGTCATAAAATAATGCATGTGCGCGCGAAACAGTTTTATTATTAATTTTAAATAAACAAAAGAGATTACCATTGTAGGGACAATTGTCTCCTACTCCGCTTGTGTTACACATTTCCACACATGTTAAATACAACTTTCTAATCCCTGCATGCATGCATCCGACATCCACTTTCTCCTCCGTTTACAACCCTTGCATGCTACGCGGCCATCCTTCGATCCCTTTCATCGCCAATTAACACATGGCAGACACACGGTTTTTCCTACACAACGATCACTCATCCCTCCGAGAATCTTTCCGATCATAAAAACTTTCTCCCAAGATCATGCATGCTGAATCTGGATTTTCCAAGGGGCATTCTGTATCCGGAACTTGTAGAGTAAACGAGAGTCTGCAGCATCTATTCCGCGCCTAAGAATACACGCTTCGATCTCCACACCACACACACACGAGTCACTCGTTATCGAACGTTGTAATTGTTGTTTAAATAAATTTGAGTTAGTAAGAAGCGTCGGCTAATTTAATTGCCAGATTACCTACACCATATTGCATTTTATTTACAGGATTTTACTATATTACATTTCGCGGAATCATTGAAGACACAACAGTACATGCGCGACTGAACTCGTAAATCATGATAAATGTTTGAATTTATTTCTCTAAAAAATATGATAAAAAGGATGAGAGAGAGAGAGAGAGAGAGAGAAAAAGAGAGAGAGAGAGAAAGAGAAAACTGCAAAACGAAAAGCAGGGAAAGTGAAAAAGAAAGAGAACATGTTTAAGAAATGAAACAGTGGCCGTTAGACAAGAATCACTTTTCGTTAAAAAAGAAACAAAAAAAGCATAAATCACAAGAGAATAAAAGAATTTAAGCAGTATGCTTGCAGTAAACGACATTGGGGAAACTCAGGTAAGAACTCCATGAATTTTTGTTCCGCTTTCACTTTTAAAAACATCCAAGTAATCTAAATTAATTCAAAATAAACGTTGCTAAATATGAATATTATATTTTCATTTTTTTAATTATACAGAGTGTCCCAAAACCCATAATCAATCTTTCAAAGACAGATTCCTGGGATCATTTCGAGACGATTTTTCCTCAGCGAAAATGACGATGAAGGCCATCATTTTTTGCATGTTCCCGATTTTTGTCATCATATAAATGCAATTAAGCCTTAAATTAAAACTCAACTAAAGTAAACTCTATTTAAAATTAATCGAAGAATATGGTTTTATAGTTAATATTTTATTTTAGTTAATATTTAATATTTTATAGTTAATATTTTATTTTAGTTAATATTTTATTTCTGCAAAACCTAGTTTACGAAATACCCCTTATTTTCAATCACATACAATTCGTAAATTATTAGTGCCTCAACATTTTCGTTGAGGAAAAATCGTCTTTAGATGATCCCAGGAATCTGTCTTTGAAAGATTGATTATGAGTTTTGAGATACCCTGTATATATATTTAATAACATTCATTTTGCACATTGCGATTCATAGATCACTTTAAAAACTGTCGCCTCTGATTTACAGAGTTCGGGAGGAGATCGCGAGATGATTAAGTATAGAACATAAATAATTGTGCATAATTGAACATAAATGATTCAGCATCATATATCTGATAAAAGATACTCCCGATATCACAGATGATATATGATAAAGTAATTCAATAGTTTTTTTGTATTTAACATGTAAAGCATTTGTAATTTATAATGATAACATTTTATTACAAAAATGTAAGTAGTTTATTGTTTGATAATTTATACTAAAAATATTGAAATATTGATATCAAGAATCAACATGCTCACAACAGCCGGTTTTTTTAAGCAGACTTCCTGTGTGAATGCTGATTATAATTATGTTATAGTTCGGCATATAAATTTTTGGTAGTTAAACTACAACTCTCTTTATATATACAGGGTGAGGCATCTAAAACAGGCCACCTGAATAACTCCGTTGGTAAGCCGAATACAAAAAAATTGTTCAGACAAAAGTTGTATGATTTCAAGGGGGACATATGATGGTGTCATTAGTTTAATCTTGAAGAGCCACCCGAAGGTCACGTGAAGGTCAGCTCCAACTTTTTAAATGGGACACCTTATATGCTTTTACATATTCTTGTAGCTCATCTCAAGAGCTTTCCAAAACACTACAATTATGTTAGTTTTCATTAAATACTTTCCAAGTTATGAGGCTTGAAATCATTTTTTAATTTTACATAAACCGTAAAATATCTTGTAAAATATTCATTTTTCGATTATTTTACCTTAATACTTTTATGTACAAAATAATGAGAAGA